TCTGGGAGGGGGCGGACACTGGAAAAAGTATATAATTATATTTCGTTGAATGGGACGGTAGACATGTTTTTTTTGGGGTGGGGGTGGTGGAGGGGTGGGGGGGGGGTGGTGGTGTGTGTGGGGGGGGGGGGGTGGTGTGTGTGGGGGGGGGGGTGGGGGGGTGGTGTGTGGGGGGGTGGTGGGGGGTGGTGTGTGGGGGGTGGGTTGGTTTCAGTGTTTCTTTCAGACTTTTTCCTCCCCGGAGAGGGGTGGGGGTACTTGAAATTTTCGGGGGCGGGGGTAGAATTTTCTGGGAGGGGGCGGACACTGGAAAAAGTATATAATTATATTTCGTTGAATGGGACGGTAGACATGATTTTTTTGGGAGTGGGGGGTGGCGGGGGGGGGGGGGGGGGGGGGTGGTGTGTGTGGGGGGGGGGGGTGGGGGTGGTGTGTGTGGGGGGGGGGGGGGTGGGGGGTGGTGTGGGGGGGGGGTGGCGGGTGGTGTGTGGGGGGTGGGGGTGGGGGGGGGGTGTGGGGGTGGGGGTGGGTGGTGTGTGGAGGTGTGTGTGTGGGGGTGGGGGGTGGGGTGGGGTGGTTTCCTCATCGATACTCTATAATAAAATTACCACCTAATTAATGTGTCTAATCTAAAAAGTGGTTTTCTCGCAATTTCTTTAATGCAATTCTTCGCGTAGTGGCTAAGCGCGACACCAGTGTTTCTTTCAGACTTTTTCCTCCCCGGAGAGGGGCAGGGGGGTACTTGAGGTTTTCGGGGGTGGGGGTAGAATTTTCGGGAAGGGGGCGGACACTGGAAAAAGTATATAATTATATTTCGTTGAATGGGACGGTAGACATGTTTTTTTGGGGCTGGGGGTGGGTGGGTGGGGGTGGGTGGGGGGAGGTGTGTGGGGGGTGGGGGTGGTGGGGGTGGGGGTGGGTGGTGTGTGGGGGGTGGAGGTGTGTGTGGGGGTGGGGTGGGGGTGGGGGTGGTGTGTGTGGGGTGGGGGGGTGTGTGGGGGGGGGGTGGGATGGTTTTAGTTTAGAGAAAAGAGACAGCACTATCAGCCTAGCGCCCGTTGTACCCTTCCTCAACGGGCCATTTATCTAGTTAATACTAATAGTTTCGCTGTCTGTCTATCTGACAAGAACGCTCTGTCTGACAAGAACGCTCTAGAGAAAACACAAGCAAATTAAAAACATGCATAGTAATTCGAAAAACGAAGTATGACGTCGACACATTTAGCACAGAGTAGAAAATAATCTCAAGCCGGATAGTGCACACATTAATATGACGTCATTGATTATCGAGTAAACATTCAATACAAAGGCAATTTGGTCTAATCTAAGTGGTTTGCGTGAAGAGTTTCTTTCATACAATTCTTCGGGTAGGGGCGAAGCCCCACCCCCGCGTAAGAACGTCTGAGCCCCCCTCCCCAACTCAAAAGAAATTTCCTCATCGATACTCTATAATAAAATTACCGCCTAATTAATGTGTCTAATCTAAAAAGTGGTTTTCTTGCAATGGGACGGTAGACATGTTTTTTTTTGGGGGGGGGGGGGGGGGGGGTGGAGGGGTGGTGTGTGTGTGTGGGGGGGGGGTGGTGTGTGTGGGGGTGGGGGGGTGGGGGTGGTGTGTGGGGGGGTGGGTTGGTTTCAGTGTTTCTTTCAGACTTTTTCCTCCCCGGAGAGGGGTGGGGGTACTTGAAATTTTCGGGGGCGGGGGTAGAATTTTCTGGGAGGGGGCGGACACTGGAAAAAGTATATAATTATATTTCGTTGAATGGGACGGTAGACATGTTTTTTTTAGGGGTGGGGGGTGGTGGAGGGGTGGGGGGGTGGTGTGTGTGGGGGGGGGGGGGTGGGGGTGGTGTGTGGGGGGGGCGTGTGGGGGGGTGGGGGGGTGGTGTGTGGGGGGTGGGTTGGTTTCAGTGTTTCTTTCAGACTTTTTCCTCCCCGGAGAGGGGTGGGGGTACTTGAAATTTTCGGGGGCGGGGGTAGAATTTTCTGGGAGGGGGCGGACACTGGAAAAAGTATATAATTATATTTCGTTGAATGGGACGGTAGACATGTTTTTTTTAGGGGTGGGGGGTGGTGGAGGGGTGGGGGGGGGTGGTGTGTGTGGGGGGGGGGGGTGGGGGTGGTGTGTGGGGGGGGGCGTGTGGGGGGGTGGGGGGTGGTGTGTGGGGGGTGGGTTGGTTTCAGTGTTTCTTTCAGACTTTTTCCTCCCCGGAGAGGGGTGGGGGTACTTGAAATTTTCGGGGGCGGGGGTAGAATTTTCGGGGAGGGGGCGGACACTGGAAAAATTATATAATTATATTTCGTTGAATGGGACGGTAGACATGTTTTTTGGGGGGTGGGGGGGTGGGGGTGGGGGTGGTGTGTGTGGGGGGGGGGGGGTGGGGGGGTGGGGGGGTGGGGTGGTGTGGGGGGGGGGGTGGGGGGTGGGGTGGTTTTAGTTTAGAGAAAAGAGACAGCACTATCAGCCTAGCGCCCGTTGTACCCTTCCTCAACGGGCCATTTTTCTCGTATAAGAATATTCGAGAAAGTTTAGGGGAGATCACTCCCGGTTTATTGTTTTCATTTTCCATAGGCTTAGTTGTCCCCGCAATTTTTACACTAAAACCGTCATATCTAGAGAACCGTTTATCTTATAAACATAAATTTGGTATCATGTTGCAACATTTAGTCCCCTTAATACAACCCCGTCGTTATTTTATTTTAATTATTTAAAAAAACTGTATATATATATATATATATATATATATATATATATATATATATATATATATATATATATATATATATATATATATAATGTATGTATGGGGGCATCTTCCCCCTGAGTTGGCCCCGGGCATCTACAAAGGTCTGCACGCCACTTCTTTGTACAAATTACTTTCCAGGGGGAAATATACTTTTTTTTGTTACGATGTTTGAAAAAAAAAACAATTTTCTAATTAGCATGGTCTGATAGTGTGCAATGTGGTAGGTAAAACACGGGTACTTTAAATACGACCATTTATTTTGTACACTGAATGTAGACCTACTGTTTACACATTATTATTTATGATCAATAACAGTTTAAAAGCTGTTGCTCTTAATTTAAATTAAATGTTTATCATAGTTTATGTAACCATTTGCATTATTTTTTAAAATTTAAATGTTATTAATTTATTATTGCGGTTTTGTATGTGTTTGCGATCATGTTTACATTTGTTTTTGCAGTACGTTTGTCATTGTGTGTGGATTATGGGAGGATTCTGCTCTGTGGGCTAGAGGGATATGGGTCGTGGAGTTTGGCTTTTATTTTTAACGTGAATTGTATCTTGTGGTTGCCGTGTTGTTTGCGTAGTGATGTATCATGTATGGGATGTTGTGCTTTAGGAAATATGGTGCTGGGTGGTGTTCGAAGCGCGAGGTAATGGGTGGGGCTGCGTTTGTGTGGTTTATGATGTATTAGGGAGGAACTCAATACTTAACTTAATGAATGTCCATTAACCCTTTATCTACTGACGGTACTTAAAGTACTGCTTTAATTAAGTGCCTGTATTATTTTAAATTTAATACGAATTTTAAAAATTATTGAGGTAATTAATAGTATTATCTCCCCTGAGTCGCCGGTAGTCGGAGGTATCAATGTTTTTTTTAATTAATGGTGTGGCGCCATTTTCAATGTCTTGCTATATCGGTAGTTCACAATTGTTCTATACAGTTCTCACACACGTTCCTGAATTCCCCTTGTTTTACCTTATTTTTCAAGTTTTCAACCCCAAATATTTTTTATTGGCACCTTCAATAGTCAGGCAAACGCGTTTAACTTCTAGTTATACAATTTTAATCAAATTGTCTTTGTATTAGATCGATGTTTACAAGTGGACTTATAAGTACCGTCAGGGCACACGGTCATTTTTTTAGGATTTTTAGAAAATGGCAGATTTGTTAGGTGGAGTTACATAAATATTGTCTTGATAATAAATTATCGAAATGTACTCAAAAAATGATATTTACACATTTATAAGAAGGTTTGCATAAGGTTTACCTAAGAAATATTGTAATTACATGTTAATTTCTATTAGTAAAAAATAACAAGAATAAAGGTATCAGTTGCAGGCTCGTTTACAAGGTTTAGTTTACTGCATTTGTATACCAAAGCCTAGTTCTAGTAGTTAGATTTAATTTGTTAGTTATATTTACTGCAATAAACTGTCTTGCCAACAATAACTAGCATTTACGTAATGTATACCTGTAGACTAGTAATAGTCCATACTTCTGCATATAGTATAGATCTATAAGGTAAATTTTAATCAGTAAACAGAAAAGAGTAATCCACTACGGCTATCCTAAACACATTGAGCTCACTTCTATTTATGAACTTTGCACTGTAGTGTAGACTTGTCATAACATTCGAGTAGGCTACAATTATACTAGTATTACTAGTAGTTGTGTGCTGAATGACTAGGCTTTTGTTTGTTTATGCGGCTCATTGTACTAGTTATTGGAAGCTTCCAGCAAAAGCATATTCATTCCGGCAACCGTTGCTACACCAGAAAGACCACAGACAAGATTGAGGGAGCATGATATGTCGACTACTTTTGCTGTGTATGAGGTCTAAGATGTGTTCCCATAGAAAATCCAGTAAAAATCATACTCAAAATATACGTTTGTGCTGTATTTATGTGTGAAAATTACAAAATGTGATTGTTATGATGATTGCCATGTTATTAGTTAATAAAGAGTATCGTTTGTTCCTGTTTTGTAAAAAAAAAAAATTTGAAAAAAAAATTTCCTAGATTACTGACGGTACTTATAAGTACCAATATCTGTTTGGGCCATTAAAAATTTATGAAACGAAATTTTCTTCGACATATGCTTTGAATGTGCCAAAAGCAATATAGTAACACATTGTTTAAGTAAAAATCTCATTCAGAACATAATTCTAGGCCTATTAAAACTAGATATAGTTCTGTACGACTACAGTCTTGTCCCAAATATTAGCATCCATAAACATTTCATTGATTCTCATACCGGAAACGTGTTACACCCAAAGGTGTCACTGTCAGTAAAAACTTGATCTAGATCTAGAACTTATAGATCCAGGCAAATTGGATCTATCTTTATTCTTTAGATTCTAGAATTACACCAGCCGGAGATAATAAATATTCACACATTCTAGATTAACTGACGTAAAGCTTCTCAATTTTGAAATGACTGTGGTGAATGTCCACGTGGAATATTGGTAGGCCTAAAAAAATCTAAAATAAATTTAATAGGGGCCTAGGCCTAAATATTAAAATAAAAGTAAATATAAATATTAAAGAAATAGGCCTAATAAATATTAAATAGTAAAGGTAAAGGTGGTCATGACTGAGTTGACAACAATGATAACTAAAAATTAACTATTTAATAGTATTTAACTAATCGATTGTAGGAAAAAAAGTCACAGGAAAAAAAAACACAGGAAAAAAAAACACAGAAAAAAAGTCACAGGAAAAAAAGTCACAGGAAAAAAAGTCACAGGAAAAAAAGTCACAAATATATATTTGCATGATATTTGTTAATACTTTTATGTATTAAATATTTAGAGAGTGCAAATTAAGTTAGGATTAATTAAGTGTAATGTAATGTGTGTAGGCTGTATACGCATAGGAATTTTTATAATTAATCTAAAAATACTTAGTATGAAGTATGTAGATTGTAATTATGTTAAACTTAAGATCAGTATCATTTAATAGAATGCTCCAAAGTCCACGTTTTCATCGTGTTTTTTTTAAATACCAATATTAAATTACCGTGAAATGGTAAGTTCATCTGACTTGCTGCCCTCAACTCATGGCAACAATAGGTATGCTTAGTTCAACCACCTTTACTGCCCACATTTATCACGCTCATTACATAACAAAACATAGGATCAAAACAGAAAGCCGACAAGGTTCAAAGGCGGTCATTGACGCATGACGTCAAAAACACAAAATATGTTCGGACAATGCCTACTGAGGAGAGGCCGACCAGAGAATAGCCTACGGCCAAATTTGCCTAAATTTCTTTTATAATTAACTTTTCTACCGCGTATTTAACTAAATACGTGAGAAATGTTGAGATTGTTGTGTAAATTATCTAAGAGTATTTTTACTTACAATTGTTATAAACCATAATGCTTTTAACGTCTATAAATAATTTAGGCCATCATAAAATACAACCCACAACAATAAACATACACAATTTTACAATTCTTAACAAATAAATCAAAATATTTCTAAAACTATTTTTGTGACTTTTTTTCTGTGACTTTATTTCTGTGACTTTTTTTCCGATAAAATTTTTCCACTGTGACTTTTTTTCTGTGACTTTTTTTCCTAGCAAAAACTGTGACTTTTTTTCTGTGTTTTTTTTTCCTGTGACTTTTTTTCCGTTTACCAACTAATCTAGCTATATCTAGATAGATTCTAGTTAAGTTACTGACTGTTAGTGTTAAGGGCAGGTGTTATGACAGTTATGCTCATTTAAAAAAAAAGAAAATTCAATTTAGCATTTTAAATACTTAGCCAAGTTTGGCACATATTAGAATTAGATCTATAGACTCTAGTAGAGGTAGAGGTTCTAAAAAAGATTTTTTTAAAAAATTCAATTGTCATGGAAATACGAAAAAACATTTAGCCCACCATTTTGAATTTTTAACTTTCTAAAAATGCTAAGGTTTTTTTTTTTTGGCATTTAAATTTAAAGAAAGCAATCAGATGTACACTGCTTAGATCTATATTAAATTTCAGTATCTATAAATTAGCCTACTTACTATACTATATATATAATTTTCTTCTGGGAGACATTAGAAAGTTAAGAAAGCAAGCTGAAAGCGCGCCTTGCAGTCCCCTCTTCCTCTCTATCATCACTACCACCCCCACATGGTCTGGTGAGCTGTGGTTCACTCTAAATGTTTACAATCATAGAGCCGGGTTTAGTGACGGCTATTAGGGGCAGATAATTTAGTTTGAAACGATTTTAAACTTAGAGGATGTAACTAAGAGGAGGCTGCTTTCAATGGGGGGGGGGGAGGGGGTGTTTTTTAAAAAATATTTTCAGTGGCAGCATTGGTACTGTCGAATTCACAAATTATGAATTACTGAAAAGTAGAAAAAAAACAACTAAATAGCGGCGTATGATACGCCGCGGGTCGGCTCGTATATATATAATTCTCTTCTGGGAGACGCTAGAAAACAAGCTGTAAGCGCGCCTTGCAGTCCCCTCTCTTCCTCTCTAGGCATAAATCAACCTCCCCCACCCCCACATGGTCTGGTGAGCTGTGGTTCAGGCTAAAAAATGTTTACAATCATAGAGCCGGGTTTAGTGACTCCTATTAGGGGCAGATAATTTAGTTTGAAACTATTTTAAACTTAGGGGAGGTAATTTAGAGGAGGCTGCTTTCACAGGGGTAGGGTAGGGGGGGGGGGGGTTATCGTCGAATTTACAAATTATGAATTACTGAAAAGTAGAAAATAAAACAACTAAATAGCGGTGTATGATACGCAGCGGGTCGGCTCGTATGGCCTATTAAAATTAAAACTTGTCACAATAACTTCTTGACAGGGCTACTGGACTGAATTCTTACAAGGTCCAAAAAATTGCAGTACAGGCCCTTCTTGAAAAAAAAACATTTTTTTTTACCATAAACTGAGTCAACTCGTTAACATTCCCAATGAATTCATAATCTTCTTCCATATTTTGGGGTACTCAGCTAAAAAATTTAAATGTAGATCTTCAAACTAATTTCTTATGAGTTTTCAAATTTTGGATCTGGTAAAAACACAAAATTTGGGGAGTTTTTGGGGCATTAAATCTAGTGTTTTTGACGGACCCATTATTTGAAATTTCATAAGTAATTAGTTTTAAGATCTGCATTTAAAATTTTTAGCTGAGTACCCCAAAATATGGTAGAAGATTAAGAATTCATTGTTTACTGGACTTAAAATTTAATATTTTATGAATGGTGGAAATTCTACGAAGAGGTTAATTTTTCAATATGGCCGCTGTTGTCATAGTAACAAAAAAAAATTTTACCAAATTTTTTTAGTGGAAATGTATATTCGGATGTACCTTTAAAAAGCTGTATGTAAAAAATTGTTTGCTCTCTACAAGTTTTTTTTACTGGCGCCTACCCCCTTAATAACATTGCACTCGATTTTAAATTAACCACTGGAGACTATTCATGGCTGCATCTGTTCTTTAGTAGCCTACTAGGATGAGTGGTATAGGTTTGATAACTGAAAGTCATGACTAGAATCATATACCACTGGAATAAAAATGTAAAATTTATCTGCCTTATTGAACATCAATTCTGATGGGTTACTAATACTATAGTATAAGCCTATAACATTTAAAGTGAGTAAATAAATGACTAATACAAATAAGCAATCAGATGAAAGGTCATTAAAATTAATATTAGTTTTAGGTTTTACTTAGCTAATGACTGATTGTATTTTTCAGTGGAGGGTGAGGCTATGGACCTCGGTTCCAGAAACTGCACAGTGATATCCTGAAGCAGTTTTCTGAATCCGAGGTCAGCATAGTTGGAGTTGTTGGGCGCTCTTGTAAGTCTAAATCTATTTTAACTCATTAGTTACATATGCTAGTCTACCCAGTTCTGGTGGGTACCTGACTCTTATTGAGGAATGTAAAGTTGTCTAAGCATAGACCACACTATCAAAGAAACACCTCTACTCCATCTACCCCAAGGACTTTATGACCTGAAGGGAAGTTCAACTTTTAAAATTCAGAAATCTCTTGAATTCTTGTATTTGCATCTGGACCTGGTTTTAACATGATACATTAAACAAGAATGACACTTAGAAGATAAACTGATTTACAGCTTGTTGTTTTGAAACAAGCCAGGTCTTCTAGTAACCATTGAAGCCAAATATTACTGTCACACTCATGTCACACAGCATGCCTTCAGTGGCAGGTAAAACCCATTCTTAATTTCATTATTTTATTTTTTTAGCTTCTTTTGAGGTAACAGTCAACAATCAGTTAATCTTCTCTAAGTTGAAGCAGGGTGGTTTTCCCAAAGCTCATGATGTAAGTTTATATTAGCTTCTTGTGTAACTGGCGCCATGGAATGGTAAAGAATGTCAGCTGATAAAGATTTAGCTTCATTGTCATTTATTTACAATTTTTAAACATTTTAAGAATAGATTTATAAACTTTAATTTTATTTTGTCAGTTCTGCTAGAATACTGATCAGATTATAAAATAACATAATAGAATAGATACTTAGTGGACAATTTTCAATTGTTGTTTATTTACCCAATATGCTGGGTATATAGCAGATGATTGGCCTAAGCAAATCCTTAACTCTCACTCACTGAACCATCAGTGTTCTGACAATTTGTATTGCTTTTACATTTTTGCAAAGCCAATATAAATATAATAAAGCCCCATTTTTGTTCCTTATTAAATTCCTAATCAGTTTAAAATGTACCCAATGTTCTACATTTGTGCACATAGTTTCTATCAGAAGTCTGACCAGGCTGACTACAGCTCTAACCTGATGTTAGGGAGGGTAAAGGTGGCTGGGCATAGAGCTGACCAGACTTTCCCTTTATACAGGCTGACTACAGCTTTAACCTGATGTTAGGGAGGGTAAAGGTGGCTGGGCATAGAGCTGACCAGACTTTCCCTTTATACAGGCTGACTACAGCTCTCACCTGATGTTAGGGAGGGTAAAGGTGGCTGGGCATAGAGCTGACCAGACTTTCCCTTAATACAGGCTGACTACAGCTCTAACCTGATGTTAGGGAGGGTAAAGGTGGCTGGGCATAGAGCTGACCAGACTTTCCCTTTTTTATACAGGCTGACTACAGCTCTAACCTGATGTTAGGGAGGGTAAAGGTGGCTGGGCATAGAGCTGACCAGACTTTCCCTTTATAATTAGGACGAGTATTAAGGAAACATTTTTTTTACAAAGTAGTGCTGTTTTATGTGCAATGTCATCATTTTTTGTTTGATGTTTATCCTCAATTTATTTCCTTGCAGGTTGTTAAGAGTATCCAGTCAGCTCAAAAGGGAGAAACCTACATGATCACTGAGGTGGAGCCTTCTAGATGCAGCATATTGTAATATGTTGTAGACCTTCTGGGTGCAGCATATTGTAATCTGTTGTAGACCTTCTGGGTGCAGCATATTGTAATATGTTGTAGACCTTCTGGGTGCAGCATATTGTAATATGTTGTAGACCTTATGGGTGCAGCATATTATAATCTGTTGTAGACCTTCTGGGTGCAGCATATTGTAATATGTTGTAGACCTTATGGGTGCAGCATATTGTAATATGTTGTAGACCTTCTGGGTGCAGCATATTGTAATATGTTGTAGACCTTCTGGGTGCAGCATATTGTAATCTGTTGTAGATCTATGGGTGCAGCATATGTATTGTAAACACATTTAATTTTACCTTGACTCTACTACTATTTACAAAACATTTGAAACCCAGCTCAACAAGCAGGCTTTTAAAATCTTGTATAACTGTCACATGAAGTCCTTGTTTCAACACTTGAAATAACCAGCAGGCCACAGATGATGGGCCATGCCAGAAACTCCAGGCATGGCTCGGATGGTTTGGGCCAGTTTCAAGTGTTGAGCTCATTGATATTCTTGTGCTCAACTTCTCACATTTTATACATTACTCTACTTGCTAAATTATACATAGTCTCATTTTAATTTGAAATTACTTTGTTTACTTATTTCTACAAAAGAAGTAAAAGGAGTCATTTCATCTTAATTATTATTTACTTATGCTAAAGTGATAACATAATTTAAACAGTTTTGCAATTCTTTTAAAATGATCTCAATTGTTAAAGTTCTGGTAATAATAAAAAGATTTTGTATATGTTCTTTTGTTGTGTTCCTCTGTAGCATACAGGCTAGGGTATACAATAAGTCTAGACAATATCTAGCTAGGCTGGGACCTCTAACTCCGAGTTTAACAGCTTCTGATAAGGTCATAAACCATCCAAGGCTGTAAACATGGTGAAATCAAGACTTAAAACACACTTGGTGGTTTTCATTTTAATGTATTGTAATCAAATTATCTGACAAAATTTATTCCTTTAAATTTAATTGTGAATAAACAAATGACACAAAAATAATACAACCACTACATGCACATAAAAGGAGGGGAGGCATAATCATTACTTTTCCTGTCTTAAGTATTGTTTGTCATTCATGCTATCTATCCTGGGTGCTAAAGTAACTCCATCTTAGTTATCTAGGAGGTATTGCCACTTAATCTGTTATATGGAAGCTAAATGTCTCTCTCCATCATAGTCACATAATCTGGGAGCTAAGATCACTTACACCATTGTAATCTAGGAGCTAAGAACACACCATCTTACTTAAAAGCTGGAGTCTTCCATCACAAATTCCATTGAATTTTCCTCTTCCAGGCCAAAACTCAGACCATCACTTGGGAGGATTTCTTTATCTATGAGAGAAAAAACCTCAAGTTAAACCCATAAGATTTAGCTTGAATAGATACTGTACTGGGATAAAAGTATTTTAGGCTAATGATAGGGGGTTTAGTTGCTTATACAAGCCAAACATATTTCAAGTTACTATAAACATTTCTGATAGGAGAATCTCAATCAACCACAAAAATCTACCTTAGATATGTAGGATAAGCTTTGAATGGTGCTAAGTTATAAAACTGCAGTGTAAGGGCCATCACAATGTTGGGCCAGCAGTGTAAGGGCCACCACAATGTTGGGCCAGCAGTGTAAGGGCCACCACAATGTTGGGCCAGCAGTGTAAGGGCCACCACAATGTTGGGCCAGCAGTGTAAGGGCCAACATTTAATTTGAAGCATCCAACAAAAACACAACTTCAGATTTTTTATTTTATTTCCAGGAACTTATAAATTTAAAAAATAAAAATCATGTTTATAGATAGATAAAATACCATAAATTTAAAAACATTTAATGACATACTTGTGCAAATAAGTCTATAGCTAGATATGACTAACCCAAAGCATTATTAGAGACAGAGGATGACTAACCTAAACTGCTACCAGAATCCTCATTGAGAGAGAGGATGACAGAGTCCAAGGATTCTTCTACCTGGCTCACTACCCCAGACAATGGTGGATCTTTGACTGGATGGCCAGCCACAAACATCACATCCTCCTCTGTAATGGTGGCGTCACTGTCAAACTCTTCTTCTACCCTAGACACATGGCTGACAGTTTCACCTTGACCTTTCTTTGTCCGACTTCTTGTTTGTCTACTTGTGTTAACTGGGTTAACTTTGCGTTGTCTTTTAGCTGCTGGTGTTTGATTACAAGGCTTACTCCCCCTTCTACCTCTCTTGCCCTTGTTTCCCCCACCAGGTGTGGGACATTTGTCTCCCATTGCAACTTCATACGTTTCTTTCAGATCCTCTGTCAACTGACTTATCTGGATATTATCTGTGTCTGCCTGCATGGTATCTGTTACATTGCTAGGCTGACCAGCATCAAGTAACTTTTGTTCTTCAATGGCGGAATGGCTGTTTGCTTTATCTTCTTGGCCTAATTTCTTTCTTGTATATTCTAACTGGATATTTGATTCTGTAGAATAATCCATACATTTAACTACAGAATCTGTAAGCTGATCCATCTGGTTATCTGCAGATTCTGTAAGCTGAGTTATCTGGTTATCTACAGATTCTGTAAGCTGAGTTATCTGGTTATCTACAGATTCTGTAAGCTGAGTTATCTGGTTATCTACAGATTCTGTAAGCTGAGTTATCTGGTTATCTACAGATTCTGTAAGCTGATCTATCTGGTTATCTGCAGATTCTGCAGGTTTATCTGTAGGCATATCAGATTCTGCAGGTTTATCTGTAGGCATAACAGATTCTGCAGGTTTATCTGTAGGCATAACAGATTCTGCAGGTTTATCTGTAGGCATATTAACAGATTCTGCAGGTTTATCTGTAGGCATATCAGATTCTGCAGGTTTATCTGTAGGCATAACAGATTCTGCAGGTTTATCTGTAGGCATATCAGCTGATTCTGCAGGTTTATCTGTAGGCATAACAGATTCTGCAGGTTTATCTGTAGGCATAACAGATTCTGCAGATTTATCTGTAGGCATATCAACAGATTCTGCAGGTTTATCTGTAGGCATATCAACAGATTCTGCAGATTTATCTGTAGGCATATCAACAGATTCTGCAGATTTATCTGTAGGCATATCAACAGATTCTGCAGGTTTATCTGTAGGCATAACAGATTCTGCAGATTTATCTGTAGGCATATCAACAGATTCTGCAGGTTTATCTGTAGGCATATCAGATTCTGCAGGTTTATCTGTAGGCATAACAGATTCTGCAGATTTATCTGTAGGCATATCAACAGATTCTGCAGATTTATCTGTAGGCATATCAACAGATTCTGCAGATTTATCTGTAGGCATATCAACAGATTCTGCAGATTTATCTGTAGGCATATCAACAGATTCTGCAGGTTTATCTGTAGGCATATCAACAGATTCTGCAGATTTATCTGTAGGCATATCAACAGATTCTGCAGGTTTATCTGTAGGCATATCAACAGATTCTGCAGATTTATCTGTAAGAGTATCCAAGATAACATCAGCAGAGTTGTGTAGTAGGCTATCCTCAGTTTGAGCCACTGGCTGATGCTCTGTGGTCTTGTCATGTGACTGAATGACATCATCATCATCAGAGTCCTCAGAGGATGACTCGCTGTCACTTAAAAACTTCTTGCTGGCTGCTAAACCTTCATTCATTCTCTTTTCTCTTTCTTCCTCTTTCTGTTTCTTTATTAACAATTTGTGTTTTTCTTTTTTTAATTTGGCTTGAATTTCTTCCTGAATTTTTCTCTCAACCTCGGGGTCTGTGGTGCCGCTGAGAGGAGTGGAGAGCTTGGGCTTGGGTCTATGCGTGACATGTCGGGTCAGTTTGGCAAACAGGGTGTCTAAACTTTTGGGCTTTGGTTTACTGGAGCTCTCCTCATGGCCTGCGTCTAAACTTTTGCTCTCCTCATGGTCTGAGACACGGGGCAGTGGGATGTCAGAGAGGACAAGCTGAGGGGGGGTCACCTGCACGGGCTGCTCTACACTCACATCCATCCCCAGGTCACTGCCCTCTGCTGGTTCCTGTCTTAGCTGCCGGTGTCGTGGCAAACTTGGTCCCTGAGGAATTGGGATGGCAGACAAGTCCAGAGAGGCACTGGTCACAACGGGCAGCTTGGCCTTCTTATTTTCTTTACAAGCGTGGGCTATGCTGAGAAACTTGCCCAGAGGTTGGTTCTCATCCTCTTTGGTTTCCTTCATGGCTACCATTTCAGCCGTGCCAGACAAGGGGGTCCAGGGGGGTAAACTTGCTTTGCCTGTCAGTTTAGGGACTTTGCTCTTTAACTCCACTGATTCTTCTTCCTCTTCATCTACTTCCATGTCCACTACATCTGTGTTATCAACATTCAGACTTTCATCTTCAGAATCAGAGTTATGTACAGTGGTTTTTCTAAGTTGTTTTTTCCCAGGCTTAATCCTCAGTGCAGGGTCAGCAATGTTGGCACATTTCACATCAGGGGGTGGAGGGGGCACTGGGCTACTGGCTCGTCTAACATCAGGTTCTGGGGGTGGAGGCGGTGGTGGAGCAGGCAGTGGTGGCGTTTTTTTCTTCTCTGACAACTTTTTGACAGACAAGGCTGTGCTTTTTTCCAGGAGTAATTTCTTTTCATACATTGGGTTCTCTTTAATATAGTCCTGCAAGTAAACAACCCAGATAAGTAATGCATACAAAAATAGAATATTATGGGGATGTGGCAGATTACATGTCAAACAATGAGTACAAAATTGAACCATTTTATTACAACAATACTTGATTCCATTAGTGTTAAAAAGTACTTTATGTCAGCATGTGTGAGTGTTGATAAGAAAGTGCTTTACGTCAGCCTGTGTGAGTGTTGATAAGAAAGTGCTTTATGTAAGTGTGTGTGTGTTGATAAGAAAGTGCTTTATGTCAGCATGTGTGAGTGTTGATAAGAAAGTGCTTTATGTAAGTGTGTGTGAGTGTTGATAAGAAAGTGCTTTATGTCAGCATGTGTGAGGGTTGATAAGAAAGTGCTTTATGTCAGCATGTGTGAGGGTTGATAAGAAAGTGCTTTATGTTAGTGTGTGTGAGTGTTGATAAGAAAGTGCTTTATGTCAGCATGTGTGAGGGTTGATAAGAAAGTGCTTTATGTTAGTGTGTGTGAGTGTTGATAAGAAAGTGCTTTATGTTAGTGTGTGTGAGTGTTGATAAGAAAGTGCTTTATGTTAGTGTGTGTGAGTGTTGATGAGAAAGTACTTTATGTCAGCCTGTGTGAGGGTTGATAAGAAAGTGCTTTATGTTAGTGTGTGTGAGTGTTGATAAGAAAGTGCTTTATGTCAGCATGTGTGAGGGTTGATAATAAAGTGCTTTATGTTAGTGTGTGTGAGTGTTGATAAGAAAGTGCTTTATGTTAGTGTGTGTGAGTGTTGATAAAGTGCTTTATGTCAGCATGTGTGAGGGTTGATAAGAAAGTGCTTTATGTTAGTGTGTGTGAGTGTTGATAAGAAAGTACTTCATGTCAGCGTGTGTGGTGTGAAAAAAGAATTGAATGTACCATGTATTTGTTATAATGATCATCTGTTTTAAGATGAAGAGTAGCTTCAGTAAAATCTCCACAATATACATGACAGAGGGTGCAGAAAAATCCCACCACAGGAAACAGTAATTCAGAGCCTGGAAATAGAGAAAATATTTTAAGAAACTACAGAAATTCCATTTCCATTGATATGTTCCGTAAAAAAAATTTTAAAACCACCAAATGAGATGCCAGATATGTATAAAATGTCATATTTAGTTATCACTTTTCAATTATCACTTGAATAGATGATTCTATAGTACTGTGAGAATATTTGTCCCTTTGAAACAATGATTGAACATAATAGTTCAAGGATATATACATGTCAATGAAACAATAAAATAATAGAAACTGTTTTCCCCTTACCCATAAAAGTTTATAGAAAATAATACCATATACCACCCTTTTCCAACAACTATTTCAAAACTGCTACTGTGATTCAAATTATAGTAATTATAATATTGCAATGCAGATAATACTTGTATATGTGAAGGGCTGAATTATTTAATTGTTCTATGTTCTTGTAGGGATTGTTTCTATTGAATGATGGAATTGGAAGTAGTGCTGTCTTATTTGGCCTGTATTTGTTAAAGGTTGTAATCTTAAGTGATGGTTTATGCATGTTTGTTTATATTTTACCAAGCTTAGTATTAAGGTTGTTTTTTGTGTATATTATTATGGGTATTATTTTTTATTGTATTAGGAGTTGGCTTTTTTGGAACTATTTGTTGGAGTAGTTGGTGTTGTGCGTTTGGAAACTGCCAATTTCAGAGCAGCCTGCATAGGCGGGTTGAGGCGATGCGTGGCTTTGTGTGTTGGACCTAGTATCGTGGGCGGAGGGTGCAAAGTTGTTTTTGTAGCTCTTGTATGAAGAGACAGCTATTTCTTTCAGGGTGTTTTGTTTAGATGCTTTATATGATTAGGTTGTAGTCCATTGATTTGTTCCTTTAAATATTATGGTTCCACTTTTTTGGTTAAGATTTTGTTTTAATTTTAGACTAAGGTTAAGTGTTAACTTGCACTGATGCCCCAGTTGTTAAATTATAGCCCGAGGGATTAGATTAGGTACCCCCCCCCCCTCGGGGCTTACATATAAAAGAAAATAATATTTTTAGGAATCACTTTTTACTTAACCATAACTGTTTAGTAATACTACACAAGGCAAGCTAAACAGTAACAACACACACACAAACTACAGAAGGCAAACTAAACAGTAACAACACACACACAAACTACAGAAGGCAAACTGAACAGTAACAACACACACACACTAACTACAGAAGGCAAACTAAACAGTAACAACACACACACACTAACTACAGAAGCAAGCTAAACAGTAACATCACACACACACTAACTACAAAAACAAGCTAAACAGTAACATCACACACATACTAACTACACAAGGCAAACTAAAAAGTAACATCACACACATACTAACTACAGAAGGCAAACTAAACAGTAACAACACACACACACTAACTACAGAAGCAAGCTAAACAGTAACATCACACACACACTAACTACACAAGGCAAACTAAAAAGTAACATCACACACATACTAACTACAGAAGGCAAACTAAACAGTAACAACACACACACACTAACTACAGAAGCAAACTAAACAGTAACATCACACACATACTAACTACAGAAGCAAGCTAAACAGTAACATCACACACACACTAACTACAGAAGCAAGCTAAACAGTAACATCACACACATACTAACTACACAAGGCAAACTAAACAGTAACAACACACACACTAACTACAGAAGGCAAGCTAAACAGTAACAACACACACACTAACTAAAGAAGGCAAGCTAAACAGTAACAACACACACATACTAACTACAGAAGCAAGCTAAACAGTAACATCACACACACACTACAGAAGGCAAACTAAACAGTAACAACACACACACACTAACTACAGAAGCAAGCTAAACAGTAACATCACACACACACAAACTACAGAAGGCAAACTAAACAGTAACAACACACACACACTAACTACAGAAGGCAAACTAAACAGTAACAACACACACACACACACTAACTACAGAAGGCAAACTAAACAGTAACAACACACAAATGTAAGGCCGGCTGCAGCTATCCACATGTGTGTCAGAATGTCATTGTTTACCTTTGATTCTCCTGCTCTGGGCAACCCCCACCCTGCGAGCTGTGTTTGCCTCTGATTTGTCCCAGGGTCTTTTCTCATGTGCTATAGTCTGTAAGAAAAGAAGTCTCATGTGCTATAGACTGTAAGAAAAGAAGTCTCATGTGCTATAGACTGTAAGAAAAGAAGTCTCATGTGCTATAGACTGTAAGAAAAGAAGTCTCATGTGCTATAGACTGTAAGAAAAGAAGTCTCATGTGCTATAGACTGTAAGAAAAGAAGTCTCATGTGCTATAGACTGTAAGAAAAGAAGTCTCATGTGCTATAGACTGTAAGAAAAGAAGTCTCATGTGCTATAGTCTGTAAGAAAAGAAGTCTCATGTGCTATAGACTGTAAGAAAAGAAGTCTCATGTGCTATAGACTGTAAGAAAAGAAGTCTCATGTGCTATAGACTGTAAGAAAAGAAGTCTCATGTGCTATAGACTGTAAGAAAAGAAGTCTCATGTGCTATAGACTGTAAGAAAAGAAGTCTCATGTGCTATAGACTGTAAGAAAAGAAGTCTCATGTGCTATAGTCTGTAAGAAAAGAAGTCTCATGTGCTATAGACTGTAAGAAAAGAAGTCTCATGTGCTATAGACTGTAAGAAAAGAAGTCTCATGTGCTATAGACTGTAAGAAAAGAAGTCTCATGTGCTATAGTCTGTAAGAAAAGAAGTCTCATGTGCTATAGACTGTAAGAAAAGAAGTCTCATGTGCTATAGACTGTAAGAAAAGAAGTCTCATGTGCTATAGACTGTAAGAAAAGAAGTCTCATGTGCTATAGACTAAGAAAAGAAGTCTCATGTGCTATAGACTGTAAGAAAAGAAGTCTCATGTGCTATAGTCTGTAAGAAAAGAAGTCTCATGTGCTATAGACTGTAAGAAAAGAAGTCTCATGTGCTATAGACTATAAGAAAAGAAGTCTCATGTGCTATAGACTGTAAGAAAAGAAGTCTCATGTGCTATAGACTGTAAGAAAAGAAGTCTCATGTGCTATAGACTGTAAGAAAAGAAGTCTCATGTGCTATAGACTGTAAGAAAAGAAGTCTAATGTGCTATAGACTATAAGAAAAGAAGTCTCATGTGCTATAGACTGTAAGAAAAGAAGTCTCATGTGCTATAGACTGTAAGAAAAGAAGTCTAATGTGCTATAGACTGTAAGAAAAGAAGTCTCATGTGCTATAGACTGTAAGAAAAGAAGTCTCATGTGCTATAGACTGTAAGAAAAGAAGTCTCATGTGCTATAGACTGTAAGAAAAGAAGTCTCATGTGCTATAGACTGTAAGAAAAGAAGTCTCATGTGCTATAGACTGTAAGAAAAGAAGTCTCATGTGCTATAGACTGTAAGAAAAGAAGTCTCATGTGCTATAGACTGTAAGAAAAGAAGTCTCATGTGCTATAGACTGTAAGAAAAGAAGTCTCATGTGCTATAGACTGTAAGAAAAGAAGTCTCATGTGCTATAGACTGTAAGAAAAGAAGTCTCATGTGCTATAGTCTGTAAGAAAAGAAGTCTCATGTGCTATAGACTGTAAGAAAAGAAGTCTCATGTGCTATAGACTGTAAGAAAAGAAGTCTCATGTGCTATAGACTGTAAGAAAAGAAGTCTCATGTGCTATAGACTGTAAGAAAAGAAGTCTCATGTGCTATAGACTGTAAGAAAAGAAGTCTCATGTGCTATAGACTGTAAGAAAAAAAGTCTCATGTGCTATAGTCTGTAAGAAAAGAAGTCTCATGTGCTATAGACTGTAAGAAAAGAAGTCTCATGTGCTATAGACTGTAAGAAAAGAAGTCTCATGTGCTATAGACTGTAAGAAAAGAAGTCTCATCTGCTATAGACTGTAAGAAAAGAAGTCTCATGTGCTATAGACTGTAAGAAAAGAAGTCTCATGTGCTATAGACTGTAAGAAAAGAAGTCTCATGTGCTATAGACTAAGAAAAGAAGTCTCATGTGCTATAGACTGTAAGAAAAGATGTCTCATGTGCTATAGACTGTAAGAAAAGAAGTCTCATGTGCTATAGACTGTAAGAAAAGAAGTCTCATGTGCTATAGACTGTAAGAAAAGAAGTCTCATGTGCTATAGACTGTAAGAAAAGAAGTCTCATGTGCTATAGACTGTAAGAAAAGTGTGCTTTAGACTGTAAGAAAAGAAGTCTCATGTGCTATAGTCTGTAAGAAAAGAAGTCTCATGTGCTATAGACTGTAAGAAAAGAAGTCTCATGTGCTATAGACTGTAAGAAAAGAAGTCTCATGTGCTATAGACTGTAAGAAAAGAAGTCTCATGTGCTATAGACTCAACTGTACGAAAAGAAGTCTCATGTGCTATAGACTGTAAGAAAAGAAGTCTCATGTGCTATAGACTATAAGAAAAGAAGTCTCATGTGCTATAGACTGTAAGAAAAGAAGTCTCATGTGCTATAGACTAAGAAAAGAAGTCTCATGTGCTATAGACTGTAAGAAAAGAAGTCTCATGTGCTATAGACTGTAAGAAAAGAAGTCTCATGTGCTATAGACTGTAAGAAAAGAAGTCTCATGTGCTATAGACTGTAAGAAAAGAAGTCTCATGTGCTATAGACTGTAAGAAAAGAAGTCTCATGTGCTATAGACTGTAAGAAAAGAAGTAAAGAAGTCTCATGTGCTATAGACTGTAAGAAAAGAAGTCTCATGTGCTATAGACTGTAAGAAAAGAAGTCTCATGTGCTATAGTCTGTAAGAAAAGAAGTCTCATGTGCTATAGACTGTAAGAAAAGAAGTCTCATGTGCTATAGACTGTAAGAAAAGAAGTCTCATGTGCTATAGACTAAGAAAAGAAGTCTCATGTGCTATAGACTGTAAGAAAAGAAGTCTCATGTGCTATAGTCTGTAAGAAAAGAAGTCTCATGTGCTATAGACTGTAAGAAAAGAAGTCTCATGTGCTATAGACTATAAGAAAAGAAGTCTCATGTGCTATAGACTGTAAGAAAAGAAGTCTCATGTGCTATAGACTGTAAGAAAAGAAGTCTCATGTGCTATAGACTGTAAGAAAAGAAGTCTCATGTGCTATAGACTGTAAGAAAAGAAGTCTCATGTGCTATAGACTGTAAGAAAAGAAGTCTCATGTGCTATAGACTGTAAGAAAAGAAGTCTCATGTGCTATAGACTGTAAGAAAAGAAGTCTCATGTGCTATAGACTGTAAGAAAAGAAGTCTCATGTGCTATAGACTGTAAGAAAAGAAGTCTCATGTGCTATAGACTGTAAGAAAAGAAGTCTCATGTGCTATAGACTGTAAGAAAAGAAGTCTCATGTGCTATAGACTGTAAGAAAAGAAGTCATGTGCTATAGACTGTAAAAGTGCTATAGACTGTAAGAAAAGAAGTCTCATGTGCTATAGTCTGTAAGAAAGAAGTCTCATGTGCTATAGACTGTAAGAAAAGAAGTCTCATGTGCTATAGACTGTAAGAAAAGAAGTCTCATGTGCTATAGACTGTAAGAAAAGAAGTCTCATGTGCTATAGACTGTAAGAAAAGAAGTCTCATGTGCTATAGACTGTAAGAAAAGAAGTCTCATGTGCTATAGACTATAAGAAAAGAAGTCTCATGTGCTATAGACTGTAAGAAAAGAAGTCTCATGTGCTATAGACTAAGAAAAGAAGTCTCATGTGCTATAGACTGTAAGAAAAGAAGTCTCATGTGCTATAGACTGTAAGAAAAGAAGTCTCATGTGCTATAGACTGTAAGAAAAGAAGTCTCATGTGCTATAGACTGTAAGAAAAGAAGTCTCATGTGCTATAGACTGTAAGAAAAGAAGTCTCATGTGCTATAGACTGTAAGAAAAGAAGTCTCATGTGCTATAGACTGTAAGAAAAGAAGTCTCATGTGCTATAGACTGTAAGAAAAGAAGTCTCATGTGCTATAGACTGTAAGAAAAGAAGTCTCATGTGCTATAGACTGTAAGAAAAGAAGTCTCATGTGCTATAGACTGTAAGAAAAGAAGTCTCATGTGCTATAGACTGTAAGAAAAGAAGTCTCATGTGCTATAGACTGTAAGAAAAGAAGTCTCATGTGCTATAGACTGTAAGAAAAGAAGTCTCATGTGCTATAGACTGTAAGAAAAGAAGTCTCATGTGCTATAGACTGTAAGAAAAGAAGTCTCATGTGCTATAGACTGTAAGAAAAGAAGTCTCATGTGCTATAGACTGTAAGAAAAGAAGTCTCATGTGCTATAGACTGTAAGAAAAGAAGTCTCATGTGCTATAGACTGTAAGAAAAGAAGTCTCATGTGCTATAGACTGTAAGAAAAGAAGTCTCATGTGCTATAGACTGTAAGAAAAGAAGTCTCATGTGCTATAGACTGTAAGAAAAGAAGTCTCATGTGCTATAGTCTGCAAGAAAAGAAGTCTCATGTGCTATAGTCTGCAAGAAAAGAAGTCTCATGAGCTATAGACTGTAAGAAAAGAAGTCTCATGTGCTATAGACTGTAAGAAAAGAAGTCTCATGTGCTATAGACTGTAAGAAAAGAAGTCTCATGTGCTATAGACTGTAAGAAAAGAAGTCTCATGTGCTATAGACTAAGAAAAGAAGTCTCATGTGCTATAGACTGTAAGAAAAGAAGTCTCATGTGCTATAGACTGTAAGAAAAGAAGTCTCATGTGCTATAGACTGTAAGAAAAGAAGTCTCATGTGCTATAGACTGTAAGAAAAGAAGTCTCATGTGCTATAGACTGTAAGAAAAGAAGTCTCATGTGCTATAGACTGTAAGAAAAGAAGTCTCATGTGCTATAGACTGTAAGAAAAGAAGTCTCATGTGCTATAGACTGTAAGAAAAGAAGTCTCATGTGCTATAGACTGTAAGAAAAGAAGTCTCATGTGCTATAGACTGTAAGAAAAGAAGTCTCATGTGCTATAGACTGTAAGAAAAGAAGTCTCATGTGCTATAGACTGTAAGAAAAGAAGTCTCATGTGCTATAGTCTGCAAGAAAAGAAGTCTCATGTGCTATAGTCTGCAAGAAAAGAAGTCTCATGAGCTATAGACTGTAAGAAAAGAAGTCTCATGAGCTATAGACTGTAAGAAAAGAAGTCTCATGTGCTATAGTCTGCAAGAAAAGAAGTTTCATGTGCTATAGACTGTAAGAAAAGAAGTCTCATGTGCTATAGACTGTAAGAAAAGAAGTCTCATGTGCTATAGACTGTAAGAAAAGAAGTCTCATGTGCTATAGACTGTAAGAAAAGAAGTCTCATGTGCTATAGACTGTAAGAAAAGAAGTCTCATGTGCTATAGACTGTAAGAAAAGAAGTCTCATGTGCTATAGACTAAGAAAAGAAGTCTCATGTGCTATAGACTAAGAAAAGAAGTCTCATGTGCTATAGACTGTAAGAAAAGAAGTCTCATGTGCTATAGACTGTAAGAAAAGAAGTCTCATGTGCTATAGACTGTAAGAAAAGAAGTCTCATGTGCTATAGACTGTAAGAAAAGAAGTCTCATGTGCTATAGACTGTAAGAAAAGAAGTCTCATGTGCTATAGACTGTAAGAAAAGAAGTCTCATGTGCTATAGACTGTAAGAAAAGAAGTCTCATGTGCTATAGACTGTAAGAAAAGAAGTCTCATGTGCTATAGACTGTAAGAAAAGAAGTCTCATGTGCTATAGACTGTAAGAAAAGAAGTCTCATGTGCTATAGACTGTAAGAAAAGAAGTCTCATGTGCTATAGACTGTAAGAAAAGAAGTCTCATGTGCTATAGACTGTAAGAAAAGAAGTCTCATGTGCTATAGACTGTAAGAAAAGAAGTCTCATGTGCTATAGACTGTAAGAAAAGAAGTCTCATGTGCTATAGTCTGCAAGAAAAGAAGTCTCATGTGCTATAGTCTGCAAGAAAAGAAGTCTCATGAGCTATAGACTGTAAGAAAAGAAGTCTCATGAGCTATAGACTGTAAGAAAAGAAGTCTCATGTGCTATAGTCTGCAAGAAAAGAAGTTTCATGTGCTATAGACTGTAAGAAAAGAAGTCTCATGTGCTATAGACTGTAAGAAAAGAAGTCTCATGTGCTATAGACTGTAAGAAAAGAAGTCTCATGTGCTATAGACTGTAAGAAAAGAAGTCTCATGTGCTATAGACTGTAAGAAAAGAAGTCTCATGTGCTATAGACTGTAAGAAAAGAAGTCTCATGTGCTATAGACTAAGAAAAGAAGTCTCATGTGCTATAGACTGTAAGAAAAGAAGTCTCATGTGCTATAGACTGTAAGAAAAGAAGTCTCATGTGCTATAGACTGTAAGAAAAGAAGTCTCATGTGCTATAGTCTGCAAGAAAAGAAGTCTCATGTGCTATAGACTGTAAGAAAAGAAGTCTCATGTGCTATAGACTGTAAGAAAAGAAGTCTAATGTGCTATAGACTGTAAGAAAAGAAGTCTCATGTGCTATAGACTGTAAGAAAAGAAGTCTCATGTGCTATAGACTGTAAGAAAAGAAGTCTCATGTGCTATAGACTGTAAGAAAAGAAGTCTCATGTGCTATAGACTGTAAGAAAAGAAGTCTCATGTGCTATAGTCTGCAAGAAAAGAAGTCTCATGTGCTATAGACTGTAAGAAAAGAAGTCTCATGTGCTATAGTCTGTAAGAAAAGAAGTCTAATGTGCTATAGACTGTAAGAAAAGAAGTCTCATGTGCTATAGACTGTAAGAAAAGAAGTCTCATGTGCTATAGTCTGTAAGAAAAGAAGTCTCATGTGCTATAGACTGTAAGAAAAGAAGTCTCATGTGCTTTAGACTGTAAGAAAAGAAGTCTCATGTGCTATAGACTGTAAGAAAAGAAGTCTCATGTGCTATAGACTGTAAGAAAAGAAGTCTCATGTGCTATAGACTGTAAGAAAAGAAGTCTCATGTGCTATAGACTGTAAGAAAAGAAGTCTCATGTGCTATAGTCTGTAAGAAAAGAAGTCTCATGTGCTATAGACTGTAAGAAAAGAAGTCTCATGTGCTATAGACTGTAAGAAAAGAAGTCTCATGTGCTATAGACTGTAAGAAAAGAAGTCTCATGTGCTATAGACTGTAAGAAAAGAAGTCTCATGTGCTATAGACTGTAAGAAAAGAAGTCTCATCTGCTATAGACTGTAAGAAAAGAAGTCTCATGTGCTATAGACTGTAAGAAAAGAAGTCTCATGTGCTATAGACTGTAAGAAAAGAAGTCTCATGTGCTATAGACTGTAAGAAAAGAAGTCTCATGTGCTATAGACTGTAAGAAAAGAAGTCTCATGTGCTATAGACTGTAAGAAAAGAAGTCTCATGTGCTATAGACTGTAAGAAAAGAAGTCTCATGTGCTATAGACTGTAAGAAAAGAAGTCTCATGTGCTATAGACTGTAAGAAAAGAAGTCTCATGTGCTATAGACTGTAAGAAAAGTGTGCTTTAGACTGTAAGAAAAGAAGTCTCATGTGCTATAGTCTGTAAGAAAAGAAGTCTCATGTGCTATAGATTGTAAGAAAAGAAGTCTCATGTGCTATAGACTGTAAGAAAAGAAGTCTCATGTGCTATAGACTGTAAGAAAAGAAGTCTCATGTGCTATAGACTCAACTGTAAGAAAAGAAGTCTCATGTGCTATAGACTGTAAGAAAAGAAGTCTCATGTGCTATAGACTGTAAGAAAAGAAGTCTCATGTGCTATAGACTGTAAGAAAAGAAGTCTCATGTGCTATAGACTGTAAGAAAAGAAGTCTCATGTGCTATAGACTGTAAGAAAAGAAGTCTCATGTGCTATAGACTAAGAAAAGAAGTCTCATGTGCTATAGACTGTAAGAAAAGAAGTCTCATGTGCTATAGACTGTAAGAAAAGAAGTCTCATGTGCTATAGACTGTAAGAAAAGAAGTCTCATGTGCTATAGACTGTAAGAAAAGAAGTCTCATGTGCTATAGACTGTAAGAAAAGAAGTCTCATGTGCTATAGACTGTAAGAAAAGAAGTCTCATGTGCTATAGTCTGTAAGAAAAGAAGTCTCATGTGCTATAGACTGTAAGAAAAGAAGTCTCATGTGCTATAGACTGTAAGAAAAGAAGTCTCATGTGCTATAGACTAAGAAAAGAAGTCTCATGTGCTATAGACTGTAAGAAAAGAAGTCTCATGTGCTATAGACTGTAAGAAAAGAAGTCTCATGTGCTATAGACTGTAAGAAAAGAAGTCTCATGTGCTATAGTCTGCAAGAAAAGAAGTCTCATGTGCTATAGACTGTAAGAAAAGAAGTCTCATGTGCTATAGACTGTAAGAAAAGAAGTCTAATGTGCTATAGACTGTAAGAAAAGAAGTCTCATGTGCTATAGACTGTAAGAAAAGAAGTCTCATGTGCTATAGTCTGTAAGAAAAGAAGTCTCATGTGCTATAGACTGTAAGAAAAGAAGTCTCATGTGCTATAGACTGTAAGAAAAGAAGTCTCATGTGCTATAGACTGTAAGAAAAGAAGTCTCATGTGCTATAGACTGTAAGAAAAGAAGTCTCATGTGCTATAGACTGTAAGAAAAGAAGTCTCATGTGCTATAGTCTACTTACTAGGAGATGCTTCTTGCCATGACAGTGCTGGAAAAGTTGATCCAGGCTATTGCATGATGAACAGCAGTGTCTGCACCAGTGGTTGCCACTGTCATAATATTCATAATATACTTTCTCTTTCTTATCAGACTTTTGGGCTCCGTCAGACTTTTGGGCTCCGTCAGACTTTTGGGCTCCGTCAGACTTTTGGGCTCCGTCAGACTTTTGGGCCCCGTCAGACTTTTGGGCCCCCTCTGATTTCTGTAAAGAGAAATGACTCAATGATGGTTGGCCAATGAATGTAAACAAACTCAAGTGTTAAAGCAAAGTTTGACTTGCCCTGTCCCCTTGTTTCTTGTCCCCCACTTCAGGCAGCTTGCTGTCCTCTGTCAGTTGAACAGACTTCCAGGTGTCCTTGACTGGGTTGTGAGCCTGCTCATTGGGGACACTGCTGCTTGCTGCTGGAGCCTTACTTTTTACAGCTCCCTTTTTCACTGCTTCTTTTCTTGAGTGGGATGGTGGAGGGGAGGATGGCAGGGGGGACAACTTGAGGCTCACATCCAACTCTGGAACACTCAGTCGTTTGATTTCTTTTTCAAGCACGGTTTGCTCCTCCTCATTTTTGATCAGCTGGGGTTCTTTAGTACCTAGACCACTTCTCCAGCTTTTGCGCATCAGAGCGTTTTGCTCACGTTTTAGCATATCCAGCTGGGTTTGCAGAGTGCTGATTTGAATGCTTCTCAAGGATAAGTCATTCAACATTTTTTGTCTTTCTACTTGGCTAACATCAGACATCTGCAATATAGTTGTGAATGTAAGCACGTACAAGTTTTAAAACAAATGCAACTAAATAAATCCAACTGTATCCAAGTTTAAAAAATCTTACCTTTAAGACCAACTTTTTTCTCTCCTCAGCAGGAATAAAATAAAACTTTTCTAAAGCAGTTTCTAGCGCATCTTTGGTTTCAGCTTCTTGGGCTTTCTCTTGTAACATTTTCTGGAGGTAAGCTTTTCTTTCTTCTGGTGCCAGCTTAGACACATCTACCTTTTGAATCTCTTGCCTTTCTTTATCCTCAACTTTGACACTCTCTACTTTTCCAGTTCTATCATCTTTTTTGCCACTCTCAACTTTTCCAACTCTATCATCCTTTTTGCCACTCTCTACTTTTCCATACTGCCTCTTTCTGTTAGGAGACCTCCACCTATCAGGTGATCTGCGCCTCTCTCTACCTGGGGATCTGCGCCTGTCAGGTGGTGTGTATCTGCGCCTATCAGGAGAGTACCGACGTTTGACAGGTGATCTAGATTTGCGACGAACCGGAGACCATCTCTGGTTGGGGGACCTTGACCTTTGCCTTGGAGGTGATCTGCGACCAAATGGAGGTGGAGAATCAGGTCTCTCAAATCTGAACTTCTCTTCCTTCCTAAATTGATGATCAGAGAGTGAGATTCTCTCAGCTTTGCTGTAGCAATGTTTATCAAAACTAGCTGCTCTGGCATGTGTTCTTTCATCCTGGTCGTAGTCTGGAAACTTCCCTCGTAAAGTATTCATCCTCATCTGGTACTTGGGACTGCCATCATCGCCAGCTCTTCTATCATCTCTCAGCCCAAAAACTCTTCTTTCCTTTGACACAGGTGGTGTTTGTGGAGACACAGACCTGTGCTCACTTCTCTGTGGAGACACAGACCTCTGCTCACTTCTCTGTGGAGACCTCTGCCTCTTGCCATCAGGTGAATGTCTCTGTGACCTTGAAGAAAGAATAATTCTCCTGGTTTCAGTGAATGGTTCATCATCATCACCCCCAGTTTTTGACATGACTCGCAAATTTTCAACTCGGGATGAAAATTTGGATGAAGGGAAAAGCCCACTGCTTAACTCTTCATCTTTTTTTTGACTATGTAATGAGGACAAAAGTGGAAGAGTCCCAGGATACTCATCAGGGTAAAAGTATTCCTCTTTAGCCTCATTCTGAAATCTCTCAGAATAGCGAGCAGACTGAGGGTACTGTTCAGTTTCTGCTTTATACACAGCCTTATCTGAATACTTAGTTCTTGGGGGTGATTCTCTGATTCCAGATGGTTTACTGGTGTACTCAATACGCTCACCAGAAACCTCTCTTCTTTGGCTGCAAGGGACCCAGTCATTCTTCTTTTCTGGGCTCATTTTCTCCCATTCTTTAGTCCTGGTTGTGCTGTGTGGACTGTACCTCTCAGGACTGAGTTTCCTCTCTCTGCTCACCGACCTATCAGAGCTATGTTTCCTGCTGGTAGCTCGTGCTTCTTTAAGCAGATTCTCAATGCTCGCCTCCTTCTTCATACTTTTTAAAAGGGTCTCCTTCATGCTCTCAGCTTGGGATAAAAAAGAGGCAGACTGGTCGACAATTACATGCTGAAAATCATCTTCTTGCTGTTTTTTTTTCCGAGCAAGTTCTTGCATTCTCTTAGACAAATCAAAATTAAAGCCAATGGACTGTAAAATATTTTGGACTGTTGTGTCCAGTTCTTCATTGTCCTTGTCAGAGCTTTGTTGACTTGCTGGCTCCACTTTGGGAATTTTCTTTTGAAAGAAGGGATCCACAGCTGGAGATAGCTGCTCTTTTTTGGGTCCACTTGTTTTGTTGATTGACTGCCTCCACTGCTCGTAAAGCTTTTCCTTCAGGTGAAAAGAATCGACATCCTCTTTAACTGCCTCCCCACCAGGCATGGCACCAACGGACCAGAATGGCTGCTGTTGGGTATATTCTCCAGTGGGTTGCTCACTACTTTTTGTACCATACAGGTAGTTTTCTTCTTCATCAACTGCATCAGCATATGAAGCCAAGCGGCTCAATGCACCTTTAGAAAAGTCCTTTAGTTGAGCGCTCTCCTGACTTTTGCTGCTGTCATTAGTTTTGCCACGGAGCATATGCAGGGTTTTCTCAAGAACACTTAACTTGCTTTCATTGCTGCTGTCATCTTCTTCCACTGAAACATTTTTGCGTTTCAAAATGGACTTGGGTTTCTGGTCACCAAATGCTGCTGGGAAAAGCTGGCCTGATGTTTTGGCTGAATTGTCAAGAAACGCTACAGCTTCTGAGTTGCCAGTTTTAAGTGACTGCTCTAGCTTAGCTGTAGCTTTAGAAATTCCAGCAAACAAAACATTTTTAAGTCTTTCATCCTGCAGCAGATCATCAATATCAATAGCATCATACTTGTGTCTTGCTGAGCCCTCTTTGGTCCTGTCATTCCTTCTGTCAACACTGCCATAGTTTGTTGCTCTGGTATCTTCCAGACTGGCATCAGGATGTGCAGCAGCTGCATCTGAGCTTTCAAGATATGCTTGCTGTCTTCTCTCTCCATAGTCGACAGGAGGGCCAAGCCTATGAGCTGCAGATGGTCCACCTCCATAACCAGAATCCTTAAGTTTATAAAAATAGTGTGTATAAATAGTTATATTAAAAACTACAAAAGTTTTAAAATATTGATAAAACGGATGTGACATTTGATATATTTGAGTTAACTACCAGTAACCTAAAACCCATTTATTAACCCACGAACTGTCATTACGGCCGATGGTCGGCCGTAATTCCCCTTTCTGTGGTGTTACGGCCGACTAAATCGGCCGTTATTAAAATCGCGGTTAAAAATGCGAATGAATAAATATACGTTGGTTAAGGGGAAGTAACTATTAAAAAATGAATTTCCTTCCTGTTTCCGGTATTGGATCGCTTTCTGTTTGTACATGAGCTTTGATTTTCGTTTTAAAACGGGAGTGAATATTTTCTCAGTATTTTTACTATGAAAATGTCGGTCTAAAGCCGCAGATCGTCAATCTAGATTAGAAAATAGCCTTAGATCTTCTTTATATGATTAAATACAGTGAGAAAATAAAGAGATGACTAGACATTCATGTTTGTGGTCTTCATTTCAGTAATAAGATATTTTAATAAAAAACTAGATTTATAATAATGAAAATGCATGCCTTTTTACTGTAATTCTTTGAATGATCGCAAAGTAAAAGTCATGAATGAAATAATTCATACAAAATCGCTTTTCAACATTAGTTTATAAAACTATGTATTATCTAAAACTAATGACTTCTAGTATCTAAAAATGTAGTTTCTATGAGACTTGGAATTTTTTTGGGGGGTTTTAGGGAGGGTTGAATACAGAAGTTGAGTAGTCAAATTTTACTCTTCTTGTAAATGTCAAGGTCACTATCAACATACACAAAATAAAAACAAATTATTTGTGTATCAAAAGATTCCTTGTCCAATATACTTTCAGAAAATGTATACATGTAGGGGTCTCTGATTTCATTCAATACTAAATTTTGACAATTTTATCAAGCATACGAAAAACTCTAAAAATGCCCGAACGCCACAGAACAGTTGCACTTGACAGTTCGTGGGTTAAGGAGATTCTATTATCAGACACTGGTATGAGAATTCTCCCAAAAGTAATTTCATAAAGCCTCATTAGGCCTATCTTTTGTTTCTTTACTTTAAATCAATGATCATTTTTCCAACATCTCAATACTAGGATGATACAAAATTAAACATACTTTTAATTACCCTCACTTTGGTAATGATGGCCATCGGCAGGCAAGATTTTAACTTTTTTTTTCAGTTTTGTGGTGATTTAAAATAAAAAAATATAGGGCCTAGGGTCTATAATATAAGCTATTGTTTAGGCCAATAGCCAAGATCCCTCTCCCCAAACAATTTAACTTAAACTTATAGGCCTATCTAGGTCTAAATAAATTCTGATACAACTGTTACTTACATAATCAAAAATTTGTGGAGTTGATCTTGAAGAAAAATTATTAGGGCCATTAAACTGACCACTTATTTGCTGCCCAGTAAAATTGGTGTCTGTCGCTGGAAGATCATATCTGTGACCATGACGACTAAGATTGAGATTAATTTGATTATGTGGAATACTGGAACTATATGGGGCAAAAGTTGGTAATGAAGATGATGAAAAGCTCCTTGAATCTGTATCTCGATCGAAGTTCCCTCTTTCGTTAAGATATCGATATCCACTTGGTTTGTACACATCATCTGACCCATGTCCATATTTACTACTTCCTCTCCCCCCTTTCGACATAATTATTGCCACTGGGTACTCTTGATATTGTAACGTTTGTGTTAGGCAACGAACAAAACAATTATTTTACAAGGCAACACAAAGGAACAATTTTTATTTTATTTTAAATTAATGCAAGTCTAGATCATGATTTAAATTTAACAAAACTAAAACTAAAATTAGATCTAAATGTGTCTAGATTTAGATCTAGCTAGGTCTATTTTTTAGCTCATACTTTATTGTGTCTGAGTATATATGTTGATATTATAATAAATCCACAAACAAGCAGTAATTACAGATCCAGACAGTCAATTCTAAAGCATTGGAAATAATATTTCGCTCAAGCATAGATCTAGATTTTGTAGGATTCTAGTAGCGGCCATTGCAATCGATAGCTTCCGGTAGCCAAACTTTAGATTTTTAACTTAATAAAACAAAACAAGCCTGTTTATTCTGGTCCTTTTTTTTTTAAATAAAAAAAAATGCTTTGGCCTACATCAAGATCTAGAATAACTCATAGAATTCTATAATCCAGTGTGGATATAGAATCTAGACTATTGCCAAAAAACAAAAACTCAAAGAAAAACAAATAGAATTGAGATCTACTAGATTTTTATAGATCTAGAATCTAGATCTATTAATTATTAGATTGGACTGTAGAGTCATCCATAAATAACGTAAAGCTTTTTTGACGATTTTTACCTCCCCCTCCCCTCCGTCACACATCGTCACGAAAAGCCAGACCTCTCCCCCCCCCCCCCCCCCCCCCCCCACCCCACTAAAATGACAACCCCCCCCCCCCCCTCCCCTCAAAATTGCAGTTGAATTTTTCTTAAAACATCGATATCTTTCCAAAATCTTGTCTGAACTATGTCAACATAGAGTATTTTAATCAATTCCTTTTACAATTTATTAAAACAGTTTTCTAAAACGCGAAATAATGGTTTAAATTAGTTTAATAACATTGCTTTTTCATAATACAAAAGTGTGACGTTACACCACCCTGCCCCTTATCACACACCGTCACAAAATTACAGACACCCCCTTCCCCCCCCCCCTTACGAGTGAGACGTCATTTATGGACGACCCCTAACATCAGCCTACCCCCCCCCCCACAAGCAGTTTGTTGTATATTGGTCAATTTTGATCACGATTTACAAAAAAAAAATCTTTTAAAACGCGAACTAGTTTTCTTGAAATTTTCGGGGGGGGGGGGGAGGAAGCACTAAAATTTCGGAGGGGGGGACGGGGACGGACACTGTTAAAAGGTATATATTCTCTGTATACATTCCATTTCGTTCGGGGGGGGGGGGGCGGTAGGCTTTCTTCCCCCCCCCCCCCCCCCCCCCCGAAGAGCCTGGAAGAAACATAGTCCTCAACCATGACCTGATAGTAGTATGGCTGATAACTATCAACCACAAATACAGCAAACTATAATCACTTTGTTTCCTGGTAGGGTGTTGTTATTGGCCGTGCGAGTTTATGAACATTTTGTGATAGTTTATATATATACAAGCGTGCCCGCGCGTTGTCGCGGGTTAGAAGAAGGTTTGACGAAATATATTAGGAGGGTTTCATCAATGCGTTACCGATCTATATTCTAAGACGTGTGACATTGTTTTCTAAAACTGAGTTATTTAATTGTAAACATTGCCTGAACTTGGATCATATGCATCGGGGCACGGGTTTACCTACGCTACCGCCCAGTACGCCCCATGGAGTGCTATATGAAAGCCTTGAGTGTACATTAAAAAAATAGAACACACTTCGGCGACCGTACAGGTGTCAGGAAGAGGGGTGCTCCCGGGAGCCCCCGATTACACTACTACAGGGGTGGAGCGTACGGGCTTGGCTCGGTTTAATAATTGAATGTCGGTGCCACCGTGTCAATATTGTAAGGTGCTCCTTAAAACTAACATAGGCGCCATAGTGCTAAATGGATAACCCGGAGCGCCAAATAGCACCCTGCCGGGGCGACAGAGAACGCGCCTGATTCAATTTAGTGAACGACTATAACGTTAACGTACCTCTACCGCCGGTAAAGATAACGCAATACCCGTTGTAAGGTTGTTAGCTTTGTCCAGATGAAGTATTTTCTTAACTAAACAATTGTAATAAACCGGGAGTAATCTCCCCTAAACTTTCTCGAATATTCTTATATAACACTGCGTGGGATGACAACTCGGAATATAGACCTGATTTTTAATTACTTAAAGTTTTAAAAATAGAATAGAATCTCGTAGAAAAAAGAATTGTGCACCAAGCGAACGCCAAAACAAAATGTGCATAATAGTGCGGAATATTATTAGTACTTTATAAATCTATATGCGTTTTTTTGAGAAATCGGAAATAGCGTAAATTACTACTTCCGTTCAACGGAAATTACTCAAAATTTGATAGAAGGTGGAGAATTAGATCTTTTACTTACATGTGAAATTTCATTTATCTATCTAAAATAGTGCACACGTTATAGGCTTTTGAAAAATTCAAAGTAGAAAAAGTACCACTTCCGGTTATCGGAAATCGCTCAAAAGTTGATACGAATCTACGATTTTGATAAAATACTAATATATGAAATTTCATCAACCTAGCTATAACGGTACTCAAGTTATCGTGTTTAAAGACACACAGACATACGGACAAGATTGCAAAAATATGTTTTTCCGACTCAGGGGGGGGGGGGGGTAAAACGTCGAGATTTGTAAAAATCTCGATTTTTCTTTGCACGATTACAAGACTTTCTCTATACTTCGTATATACGAGAAAGTAAAAAAGTAAACAAAGACTACGTCATTTGGTATATGTACAAGGGAGGTAGCTTTTTAAAGTAATAATTTTATTTTACTATTTAAAAGAAAAACAAAAATCACAAAGTATAGCATTCGTTTAAATCACGGGTTCCCAAACTGGGGGTCGCGAAGGGCTTTCTGGTGGGCAGTGTTTCTTCCAGACTTTTTTCTCCGGGGGGGGGGCACTTGAAATCTTCGGGGGGGGGCGGTAAACTTTCTTCGGGGGGGGGGGGCGGACACTGTTAAAAGTATATATTTTCTATATAAATTATATAAATTTCATTTCATTCGGGGGGGGGGCGGTAAAAAAATTTTAGGGGGGGGGGGGGGGACAACCCCCCCCCCCCCGAAGAGATGCCTGGAAGAAACTCTGCTGGTGGGTCGCCAACTGGTATACTAAACCGTAGTAATGAGAAACAAAACGTAAATATTTAGCAGAATATCTTCGAGTCGGTTAAGCTCATGGTTGCTAAACCGAAAAATCTCGAGTTCGAAAATTAAGAACTAAGAAGAAAGAAAAATATCTGAAATTCGGCTTTACTAACATAACTGGAAATGGAATAGAGAAGAAGCCATGCGTACTGTGCAAAGTTGTTCTCAGACACGAGTTTAAGAAATCTTCAAAACTAAAACGTCATTTGAAGCTAGTTGCAAACGTCCGAGACTTGATCGAACAGGAAGAACACAGCATTAGTGCAAGCATCAAATGAAGTCGCGATAGAAAATGCCAAGCAAAAAAGAACACAATAGGAGAAAATCTCATCAAAAGGTAAAAATCGGGCTTTCAGAAAACAGAAAAGATTTAGCTCCCTAACCACTTCCCTCGCCATCAAGACTCCATTGCTAGTAAAAGTCGTAAATTATATTAAATCTGGAGCCTTCAATCAAAGAACTGAGCAAAGACATTAATATAGATCACACAGTTTTGCTTTTCTACACTACAGTATGCTGGCTGTCAAACGAAATGTTGTGAATCGTGTTTTTGAATTGAAATCTGAAATCAAATTGTTCTTGGAAGTGCAAAGGAAACAAGACCTTTTGGTATACTTAAAACGACATAGAGTGGTTGGATAGAGTATCATACCTAGCAAATGTATTCGAACATCAACATAAGCTTAACCTGAAGTTTCATGGAAAAAAACGAATATGATCACTTTCCATGATAACCTCGGGGCATTTTTATAAAAAGCTGCAAAATCGGCGAAGAAAATAAATCTTGGAAATATTGTAAATTTGAGAAACTCTGCAGACAGATGAATCTGATGGTGAGATAATTAAAATTTAGAAATAAGCGATTTCTGGGCATCTTGAATCTCTTGAGCTGTAAAAAGAAGAATCTTTTTCCCTTGATGTTGTCAGCATTCCCGATTAATTACAAGATGAATTCTTTATATGCAGAATGATTCCGCGTAAGATGAAAAACTGCACACACAATTTTGGTATAGTTCTCACCATTCATATCCAAACGTAAAATTGTTTGACTTTTCGAGAATAGATTTTCAACGCTATTCTCCGATTAAAAACAAAATTTAAAAAAATTGAATGTTGATGCAATTTTACTCATGGTATTAAAACAGTTATCAAGAGTAGTTCATATTGAAAGTCTACTAGAAAATCTTATTTTAGTGCTTGTAATAATTATTTTCATACTAATTTCGGCTTTTTAATTTTATGGGGGTCGCGGGTCACTTACTTTGTATAAAAGGGGGTCGCCACTGGAAAGTTTGGGAACCACTGATTTAAATAAATCTAATATATAAAGCTCAATTCTGTATGCTTGTAATAAGTTTGTCGTTGACATGCTTCGATGGATTTAAGTGTTAGATTATCATCGTGCTCATAGTCTAAATTTATAAGTTAAAAAATTACCATTGAAAGTGTTGGGAAAAAAATTTCAGTTTTCAAACTGATAGTAATAAGTGTCGGCATGTTCATTAAACACAATTTTAAAAAAATTATCATCTTTTACAAAAATTCTAATTATGTCTGAAAATTATTTATATTTAGTCCTTTAGCACTTACTTCCCTTTGATAAATTAGGAAAACAAAATTACTTCCCTTTATAAAACATTGCATTAGTGGAAAAAGAAATTACTTTTTATTACTTTGTTTTGGTGTTGGGAAAAAAATAATTACATAATTAGCGGGGATTGATCAAGTGCAAATGTTGTAGGTATTTTACGAATAAGCTTGGAGTATTATAATTGTTCATTTGGTTTGGCACCTACGTTCGTTTAAGTGAGTGCAAAAGACTATGAATAAGTTGGGGTACTATAGTCGATTATTAAGCTGAAACAGGCGATTCTGCCCCGGGCTAGACTGTGAGCACTTTGCGTTTATGTTCGCGTTAGTGTTTTCTTTGTGTTTAGGTTGGGTTTGCGTTAGTGGTTGCGTTTTGATTTGGTTCGTTTTTGTTCTTTCTTTTTTCGTTTTCGTTTTTTTCTTTGGGTTTGTGTTTATATTTGTGTTTGTGGTTGGTTTTGCGTTTGGATTTGGTTTGTTTTCGTTTGCTTTTTCGTTTGTGTTTTTTTCTTTGGGTTTGTGTTTGTGGTTGGTTTTGCGTTTGGATTTGGTTTGTTTTCGTTTGCTTTTTCGTTTGTTTTTTTCTTTGTGTTTGTATTGGTGTTTGTGGTTGTAGTTGGGTTTGTTGTTAGGTTTTTGTTTTCGTTTGCTTTTTTTTCTTTGTGTTTGTATTGGTGTTTGTGGTTGTAGTTGGGTTTGTTGTTAGATTTTTGTTTTCGGTTGTATTTGTAATTGTGTTGGTGTTACTTTTGCGTTTTGTTGTTTTGGTTGGTTGTGGTTTGGGTGGGCAATGCCGGGTTTATGATGATTACTAAACACACAGGTAATGGTCTTTAACAGAAAGGTTTTTCACAGAAGCCAGAGCAGGGCCTGGCCGGCTAGTATCTAATATATAAAGCTCAATTCTGTATGTAAAAATACGTTTGTTTGTTTGTCGTTGACATACTTCCATGGTGTTAGACTATTATCGTACTCATAGTCTAAATTTATGAGTTAAAAAATTACTATTAAAAGTGTTGGGAAATAATTTTCAATTTTAAAACTGATAGTAATAATTTTCGGCATGTTCATTAAACACAATTTTAAAAAAATAACAAAAGTTCTAATTATGTCTGAAAATTATTTATATTTAGTCCTTTAGCACTTACTTCCCTTTGATAAATTAGGAAAACAAAATTACTTCCCTTTATAAAACCTTTGCATTAGTGGAAAAGAATTTACTTTTTATTACTTTGTTTTGGTGTTGGGAAAAAAAATAATTACATAATTAGCGGGGATTGATGAAGTGCAAATGTTGTAGGTATTTTACGGATAAGCTTGGAGTATTATAATTGTTCATTAAATTGAAACAGGGGCGTTCGTTTAAGTGAGTGCAAAAGACTATGAATAAGTTGAGGTACTATAGTCGTTTAAGCTAAAACAGGCGATTCCGCCCCGGGCTAGACTGTGAGCACTTTGCGTTTATGTTCGCGTTAGTGTTTTCTTTGTGTTTAGGTTGGGTTTGCGTTAGTGGTTGCGGTTTGATTTGGTACATTTTTGTTCTTTCTTTTTTCGTTTTTGTTTGTGTTTGTATTTTTGGTTGGTTTTGCGTTTGGATTTGGTTTGTTTTCGTTTGGTTTTTCGTTTTTTTTTTGTGCTGTTATTGGTTGGTATTGGTGTTTGTTGTTAGGTTTTTGTTTTCGTTTGCTTTTTCTTTGTGTTTGGGCTTGTTGTTAGGTTTTTGTTTTCGTTTGTATTTGTAATTGTGTTAGCGTTTTGTTGTTTTGGTTGGTTGTGGTTTGGGTGGGCAATGCCGGGTTTATGATGATTACTAAACACACAGGTAATGGTCTTTAACAGAAAGGTTTTTCACAGAAGCCAGAGCAGGGCCTGGCCGGCTAGTTTCGTTATAAATCATGTTATGTATTGCATTGAAAGTGTACAAATTAATTGCAATGGAATATATCCTAGCAGTTTATTTATTTAAAACATCATCCTCTATCACCCTCCTAATAAAATTAAAAGTGTTAGATACATGCCTATTAATTTATATTACTAATAATTGTTGGAATATTTCTAGCCTAAATAAAACTAGAAGTCATGTTAGACTTAATTTCACAATGTTATAGAATATTTAATTTTGGTTGAAAAATATGCTTTCTGGTAACAACCATTTGGAACCAGCCTTTGAAGGTAAACACATTACGGTACCAGTTATTAATGCTAAACACATTACGGTGCCAGTATTTCCTCAGCGGTACTATTCTGCCTTTCTCTTTAACGATTACACATTCAGATCGTCATTCTCCCCTCCCCCTCTAAAGGATAAAGTTCGTCAAAATTAAATATATAGTGTGAACTAGACGAACCTTTGTGGTACCAGTACTGAAAAGTTTTGTCAAGTGTTCATTGTAATAGCTTTAACAGTTAAAGAGAATTGACTAAAAACATGTTTTAATGCCACAAGAACCAGACAACAGCCAGTCAAGAAGCCACAAGAACCAGACAACAGACAGTCAAGAAGCCACAAGAACCAGACAACAGACAGTCAAGAAGCCAAAAGAACCAGTCAACACCCAGTCAAGAACCAGACAACAGCCAGTCAAGAACCAGACAACACCCAGTCAAGAACCAGACAACACCCAGTCAAGAAGCAACAAGACGCGAAGTGATTGTGAACTTTAATAACCAAATATCAGGAGCTGCTAGTTCTGAGGAAGTTGTAGCTGCGAGAGGGGTCTGTTGGAAACAGGTTCTGGCACTGTGTCATCAGTCTTTTTACAGCCTGGAAGGTTCAGTACAAAATGTCAGCACAGCAGGCCAACCAGCTGATCACAGCAGGCCAACCAGCTGATTGCATGCCAACCAGCTGATCACAGCAGGCCAACCAGCTGATCACAGCAGGCCAACCAGCTGATCACAGCAGGCCAACCAGCGGATCACAGCAGGCCAACCAGCTGGTCACAGGCCAACCAGCTTATCACAGCAGGCCAACCAGCTTATCACAGCAGGCCAACCAGCTTATCAAAGCAGGCCAACCAGCTTATCAAAGCAGGCCAACCAGCTGATCGCAGCAGGCCAACCAGCTGATCGCAGCAGGCCAACCAGCTGATCGCAGCAGGCCAACCAGCTGATCGCAGCAGGCCAACCAGCTGATCGCAGCAGGCCAACCAGCTGATCCCAGCAGGCCAACCAGCTGATCGCAGCAGGCCAACCAGCTGATCGCAGCAGGCCAACCAGCTGATCGCAGCAGGCCAACCAGCTGATCGCAGCAGGCCAACCAGCTGATCGCAGCAGGCCAACCAGCTGATCGCAGCAGGCCAACCAGCTGATCGCAGCAGGCCAACCAGCTGATCGCAGCAGGCCAACCAGCTGATCGCAGCAGGCCAACCAGCTGATCGCAGCAGGCCAACCAGCTGATCGCAGCAGGCCAACCAGCTGATCGCAGCAGGCCAACCAGCTGATCGCAGCAGGCCAACCAGCTGATCGCAGCAGGCCAACCAGCTGATCGCAGCAGGCCAACCAGCTGATCGCAGCAGGCCAACCAGCTGATCGCAGCAGGCCAACCAGCTGATCGCAGCAGGCCAACCAGCTGATCGCAGCAGGCCAACCAGCTGATCGCAGCAGGCCAACCAGCTGATCGCAGCAGGCCAACCAGCTGATCGCAGCAGGCCAACCAGCTGATCGCAGCAGGCCAACCAGCTGATCGCAGCAGGCCAACCAGCTGATCGCAGCAGGCCAACCAGCTGATCGCAGCAGGCCAACCAGCTGATCACAGCAGGCCAACCAGCTGATCACAGCAGGCCAACCAGCTGATCACAGCAGGCCAACCAAACGAATGAAATCTAATTAGTTCCACAACTGACCTGGATATACTTGCGCTGTGTTTCATCATTCAACACGTGCGCCACATAACGTGAAGAAATCTTCTCTCTGCCTGTACGGGCATGGATACCCACCATAGTGACGCCAATAGGCCAGGGAGCATTTCCAATAGCCATCTCAAGATAAGAGTCATTGGCCTAAGTCATGGAAATTAGAAAACATTGGCCTAAGTCATGGCAATTAGAAAACATTGGCCTAAGTCATGGCAATTAGAAAACATTGGCCTAAGTCATGGCAATTAGAAAACATTAGCCTAAGTCATGGCAATTAGAAAACATTGGCCAAAGTCATGGCAATTAGAAAACATTTGCCTAAGTCATGGCAATTAGAAAACATTGGCCTAAGTCATGGCAATTAGAAAACATTGGCCTAAGTCATGTGTTTAATGTTAGTGAGTCTAGTATTTACTAACCTTGATGTAGTTCTTGTCCATCATGTACTGGACTATCTCCACAATACTCTCCAACAAACCTTCATCAATGTCCTACACAACACACAGGATTCACACAAAATACAAGTTAGTTACTGCATCACTGGCCTACACAACACACAGGATTCACACAAAGTACAAGTTAGTTACTGCATCACTGGCCTACACAACACACAGGATTCACACAAAATACAAGTTAGTTACTGCATCATTGGCCTACACAACACACAGGATTCACACAAAATACAAGTCAGTTACTGCATCATTGGCCTACACAACACACAGGATTCACACAAAATACAAGTCAGTTACTGCATCACTGGCCTACACAACACACAGGATTCACACAAAATACAAGTCAGTTACTGCATCACTGGCCTACACAACACACAGGATTCACACAAAATACAAGTCAGTTACTGCATCACTGGCCTACACAACACACAGGATTCACACAAAATACAAGTCAGTTACTGCATCACTGGCCTACACAACACACAGGATTCACACAAAATACAAGTCAGTTACTGCATCACTGGCCTACACAACACACAGGATTCACAAAAAATACAAGTCAGTTACTGCATCACTGGCCTACACAACACACAGGATTCACACAAAGTACAAGTTAGTTACTGCATCACTGGCCTACACAACACACAGGATTCACACAAAGTACAAGTTAGTTACTGGTTTAGGTTACAATAACATCACAGGCCTACACAATACACACAGTTGACAGTGTATCTTAGTGACATGACATTTGACTGTTTGTTTACTTTCTCGTGTAGTGTCTGTACGGAAGTATTGAAATGACTATGTAGGCAACCATGCTAGACTTGCCTTGTATTTGAGCTTCCTGAATAAGGGCTTGAGGTAGGCAACAGTCTGTGAGTGGGTAGCACTGGCTACCTTCCCTTTGATAGTCCTCTTCTCTTCTTCAGGGCGGGTGTTCAGCTGCTCTCCCCACTTCTTCAAGACAAACTAGATTACAGAGGTAAGGAACAAACTAGATTACAGAGGTAAGAAACAAACTAGATTACAGAGGTAAGGAACAAACTAGATTACAGAGGTAAGGAACAAACTAGATTACAGAGGTAAGGAACAAACTAGATTACAGAGGTAAGGAACAAACTAGATTACAGAGGTAAGGAACAAACTAGATTACAGAGGTAAGGAACAAACTAGATTACAGAGGTAAGGAACAAACTAGATTACAGAGGTAAGGAACAAACTAGATTACAGAGGTAAGGAACAAACTAGATTACAGAGGTAAGGAACAAACTAGATTACAGAGATAAGGAACAAACTAGATTACAGAGGTAAGGAACAAACTAGATTACAGAGGTAAGGAACAAACTAGATTACAGAGGTAAGGAACAAACTAGATTACAGAGGTAAGGAACAAACTAGATTACAGAGGTAAGGAACAAACTAGATTACAGAGGTAAGGAACAAACTAGATTACAGAGGTAAGGAACAAACTAGATTACAGAGGTAAGGAACAAACTAGATTACAGAGGTAAGGAACAAACTAGATTACAGAGGTAAGGAACAAACTAGATTACAGAGGTAAGGAATAAACTAGAGTACAGTTTGTTATCTTGTAAGGCCAGCCTCATCTACTCTTGAAGTGTTGGCTTGCTAACTGCCAGTAGGTTTTATTATTTGATACAGGGTATGATGAAATGTAACAGATTTTGTATTGGATACAGGGTATGATAAAGTGTAACAGATTTTGTATTGGATACAGGGTATGATGAAATGTAACAGATTTTGTATTGGATACAGGGTATGATAAAGTGTAACAGATTTTGTATTGGATACAGGGTATGATGAAATGTAACAGATTTTATATTGGATACAGGGTATGAAATAATGTAACAGATTTTGTATTGGATACAGGGTATGATGAAATGTAACAGATTTTGTATTTGATACAGGGTATGATGAAATGTAACAGATTTTGTATTGGATACAGGGTATGATGAAATGTAACAGATTTTGTATTGGATACAGGGTATGAAATAATGTAACAGATTTTGTATTTGATACAGGGTATGATGAAATGTAACAGATTTTGTATTGGATACAGGGTATGATGAAATGTAACAGATTTTGTATTTGATACAGGGTATGGTGAAATGTAACAGATTTTGTATTGGATACAGGGTATGGTGAAGTGACTTGATCAGCCAATAAATCTTTAGAGAATTACTTTCTCTTGCAACTAGAACAAAAGAATATCTTCACATTCTAAAGGAAAAATAAGATAGCTGTCACTTTAAAATTGTTACCTTAAAAAATCTGAGCACAATTTCATGATCTTTATCTTTGTCACCCTGACCAAGCTCTTGTCTCATTCTCTGTTAAAAAAACAACAATAGATCAGATCAACAAAAGAATAAAACAATAGATCTCAGTCAACAAAAGAATAAAACAATAGATCAGATCAACAAAAGAATAAAACAATAGATCAGATCAACAAAAGAATAAAACAATAGATCAGATCAACAAAAGAATAAAACAATAGATCAGATCAACAAAAGAATAAAACAATAGATCAGATCAACAAAAGAATAAAACAATAGATCAGATCAACAAAAGAATAAAACAATAGATCAGATCAACAAAAGAATAAAACAATAGATCAGATCAACAAAAGAATAAAACAATACAACACAGTCAACAAAAGAATAAAACAATAGATCAGATCAACAAAAGAATAAAACAATAGATCAGATCAACAAAAGAATAAAACAATAGATCACAGTCAACAAAATAATAAAACAATAGATCACAGTCAACAAAAGAATAAAACAATACACCAGTCAACAAAAGAATAAAACAATACACCACAGTCAACAAAAGAATAAAACAATACACCACAGTCAACAAAAGAATAAAACAATAGATCACAGTCAACAAAAGAATAAAACAATAGATCAGATCAACAAAAGAATAAAACAATAGACCACAGTCAACAAAAGAATAAAACAATACACCAGTCAACAAAAGAATAAAACAATAGACCACAGTCAACAAAATAATAAAACAATAGATCACAGTCAACAAAAGAATAAAACAATAGATCAAATCAACAAAAGAATAAAACAATACACCACAGTCAACAAAAGAATAAAAAAAACAAACCAAAAGGTCACAGTCTGACAAACTTTACATCAGGCAATCTGGTTACATGTAGGCCTATATAAAATAAGGAAGCTTAAAATCTTTCTACTTTTAGAACAGCCTATTATGGGACGGCGTGGTTGAATGGTAGCCCGTAGAGCATTTGGCTGCTAGCCCAAAGGTCTCGACTTTCAATCTCTGTTCATAAATGTAGGATGTCCCTGAGTCCACCCAGCTCTGATTAGTACCGGACTTACAAAAAACAACTTTTGTGGATGCATGACATCTGGGGGGAGAGGTGGTTCGGGTGGACTTCTACAAGTTAAATTTAGTATCAAAATACCTAAATACTTGCATTGAAAAAAACAACAACAAAAAAAAACAGCACATTAAATGTAGGTTGTAAATTACATCGGCAGCTCTCAAGTTAAATATGCCCAGCACTTCGGGTGAATAAAGTTAACAGAAATGTGACTGTATACCGCCCGCCTTAAAAAAAGCATAGATTTTTGTTTATACTAGATTTAATGCCCCAAAATTTAGTGTTTTTACCGGATTCAAAATTTGAAAATTCATAAGAAATTAGCTTGAAGATCTACATTTAAATTTTTTAGCTGAGTACCCAAAACTATGGAAGAAGATTATGAATTCATTGTTTATAGGACTTAAAATGTAATATTTTATGAATGGTGGAAATCCTACGAAGAGGTTAATTTTCAAGATGGCCGCAGTTGTCATAATTACCAAACAAAATTTACAAATTTTTTTTTAGTGGAAATGTATATTCGGATGCACCTTAATAAAGCTGTAGAGAAAAAATAGTTTTTTTTTTAACAGAGCCTACCCCCTTAAAGCCTAAGTTGGTAGGGTGGGGGTGTATGGACTAAGGGTGGGTTGGTAGGGTGGGGGTGTATGGACTAAGGGTGGGTTGGTAGGGTGGGGGTGTATGGACTAAGGGTGGGTTGGTAGGGTGGGGGTTTTGTGGACTAAGGGTGGGTTGGTGGGGTGGGGGTGTGTGAAGTAAGGGTAGGGTGGGGGTGTATGGACTAAGGGTGGGTTGGTAGGGTGGGGGTGTATGGACTAAGGGTAGGTTGGTAGGGTGGGGGTGTATGGACTAAGGGTGGGTTGGTAGGGTGGGGGTGTGTGAAGTAAGGGTAGGGTGGGGTGTATGTAGTAAGGTGGTGTTTAGGGTCTAACAAGGTGTATAGAATGTTGTGGTCATGAAGGGTAGAGGGCTAGATGGAGTGTATGAAAACTCTTGTGAATCTCCCTTACGTTGATATCTTCTTGAGTTGTTCCATCATCCTTGACTGACACATCATTGCTGGTATTGACTTCCTCTTTGCCAGTAGATTTGATGATTTCATTCAAATAGTCTTCATCCACCTTCTCCATGGCTGCTTGGAAGTCATTAGAATAGCCTTCACCCTGAAATAGAAAATTCATTAGAATAACCTTCACCCTGAAATAGAAAAGTCATTAGAATAGCCTTCACCCTGAAACAGAAAAGTCATTAGAATAGCCTTCACCCTGAAATAGAAAAGTCATTAGAATAGCCTTCACCCTGAAATAGAAAAGTCATTAGAATAGCCTTCACCCTGGAATAGACAAACACATTGGTGAAAAGCCTTAAATATTTGTATTTCTCTTAGAAGTTACCTTAATATCTGGCTCAGAGGTTTCAAGTTTCTTCAACCTTTTGTAAGCATCAAAGTCATCTTCACCAAAGAGGCGGATGGGTTCCCCTCTCTCACGCAGCTTCCTCACCACCTGGGGCAGAGAGTTACTTCATTAGCAGGTCTCATACATTATAGGCATCATGCCACCAACAACGATATGTTTTAAAAAATGACCTCTTTCCTTGGCAGCTGGGCTTGTCTGTCAGTTTTTCCATCCACATTGCTAACAGCTGGGACTATACCTTCATTCTTCTGTGGACAAACATTCAATAGACTGGTATAATAGACAAACATTTAATAGACTGGTATAATAAACCGACATTTAATAGACTGGTATAATAGACAGACATTTAATAGACTGGTATAATAGACAAACATTCAATAGACTGGTATAATAGACAGACATTTAATAGACTGGTAAAATAGACAAATATTTAATAGACTGGTATAATAAACCGAAATTTAATAGACTGGTATAATAGACAGACATTTAATAGACTGGTATAATAGACAAACATTTAATAGACTGGTATAATAGACAAACATTTAATAGACTGGTATAATAGACAAACATTTAATAGACTGGTATAATAGACAAACATTGACATACTGACGTACTGTGATGTGACCACATACCTGACTGACGTACTGTGACCACATACCTGACTGACATACTGTGACCACATACCTGACTGACATACTGTAATGTGACCACATACCTGACTGACATACTGTGACCACATACCTGACTGACATACTGTGACCACATACCTGACTGACATACTGTAATGTGACCACATACCTGACTGACATACTGTGACCACATACCTGACTGACATACTGTGACCACATACCTGACTGACATACTGTAATGTGACCACATACCTGACTGACATACTGTGACCACATACCTGACTGACGTACTGTAATGTGACCACATACCTGACTGACATACTGTAATGTGACCACATACCTGACTGACGTACTCTGATGTGACCACATACCTGACTGACGTACTCTGATTTGACCACATACCTGACTGACATACTGTGACCACATACCTGACTGACATACTGTGACCACATACCTGACTGACATACTGTGACCACATACCTGACTGACGTACTGTGACCACATACCTGACTGACATACTGTGACCACATATCTGACTGACGTACTCTGATGTGACCACATACCTGACTGACGTACTCTGATTTGACCACATACCTGACTGACATACTGTGACCACATACCTGACTGACATACTGTAATGTGACCACATACCTGACTGACGTACTCTGATTTGACCACATTACTAGATTTCTTCCAATACTCTTCTGCTTGTTTGCTGGCAAGGTCTGCTCGTTTAAAATATTTTTGCTTTGGATTCTAAGTTTTGAAAAAGTAACTTTATTAAAACAGCAGGCCAATGGCCATGAGTACTAGGCAAAATACCACTAGGTTATGAATAAGTTTATTTTTAGAAAATCAGGTAACTGTAGTGTATTTGTGCATTTAGATTGTATGATCACACAGTTGTTAGGGTTAGTTATCATACAGTTGATAGGGTTAGTTATACAGTTGCTAGGGTTAGTTTTCATACAGTTGCTAGGGTTAGTTATCACACAGTTGCTATGCTTAGTTATCATTTTAATGATAGTGTCATATATTTTTTTGGAGATATTTTTAAAAAATGTAATCTCCAACAGTCAAGAGCCTAATTTTAATTTTAACTTTATAGTTCATGTGATAGACAATGAAATTGACAGCTGAAATTACATATGGCCTTCAATTTATTAGAACTAATTAGTTAATCTAAAAAACAAACTTTTAAGCCAAAAATAAATAGCTTTTATAGTGGCTTTCAGAAAAGTCTTAGCTATAAAAAATTGACCTATGGTACTATTTTTCCAAACAAGATAGTCGATGCTTGCTTTAAATTCAGATTTGTTTAGAAATCATTAGGCCTATATAGAGCATACATTATAGCATAAACAATTAGTATTTGTGATTGCTAAAAACGTCACTTTATTTTTCCCAAGCAAGCAGGATTAAACATGCATTTCGGGCAATGTGAGTTCACATCATCATCATCACTCCTTTATGGGCCCTGGGGAGCAAAGGGCTGCAACCACACATCTCCAGCGGACTCGGTTTTGGGCTGCTCCTCTAATCTGTGCCCATGTGAGCCCAGCTGTTTTTGCCTCTTCCTCAACCGTTCTATTCCATGTTTTCTTTGGCCGGCCCACCCTCCTTTTCCCCTGGGGATTCCAGTCCAATGCATGTTTTGCGATGTTTTCTATGTGAGTTCACATAAGCTTAGAATTCAAGGAGGGGCGGTTTAGTCTAGTCCATATGTGATATAGTCACCGTTTGGCGGTTAAGTCTAGTCCATATGTGATATAGTCACCATTTGTAACAATTTCAAATTAATCTGAGATTCCAAAATGAAATGGAAAGCAGCTAGAATTTGTAAAGGTGGTAGCTAACAGGCAGAAAATAGAAGATGAATTATTAAAAACCTGTAAATTAATTATACTACCCGACAACCGTGCATACAAGATTAGTAGTAAAGTAATCCGTTCTTGGAAGATGTACATTCCCTTTATATAATTTTAGAATACTTTTTCCAAATTTAAATGAAAATATGTGGATTTTAATTAAAAATTAGAGTAAAAATTCAGACGGAAAATTTGAATTCAGGAAGATTCAACCTTCTGAAAAGCCACATCTCTAAGCTTTTAGCATGTTTATTTCATAATAAATAGCAAAAAAGCATTGCTACTCTGTGGGCCTACTGCATTAATTGCAAGAAAATCCCTTTTTCAAATTTCAAGATTTTTTGGCAGCAGTGAAATGAGAAAGAATTTTTTTAAAAAGGAGCTTTTCTTCTTCTTCGTTCTTATTTTAGTGTTGGACGGGATCCCCTCAAAATACTCTGTTTTCAGCCTGCTTTTCTTTTTGGATTTGCTTCCATAGCATTTGTCCAACCAAGAACAAACTACAAGGCATCAGTTGTTTTTGGAGTTGTCTCTCCTACAAGAGTGGCTGTCCCCAGCTAACAAGCCTTATCTGCCCGTAAAGGAGTGAAATATCATAGGCCTACTCTTAACATTGCAATGAATAAAGTTAAATTAGTAAATAAACCTTGGCCTTTTTTAAAGTAATATTTAAAAGCCTAAGTTAATTTAAAAATGTAATGTCACATGCTAAATAGGGAAAAGTCCTACGGTAATTAGTATAAAAACAACAAATTACCAACCTTAATTAAACTGCTTTCTTCAAGCTGACGTTTCTTTCTTTCAATTTCAGCTTTTAAAACATCCATTTTACTGTCCAATGGGCATGAGAGTAATTTTAATTAATAATTAGGCCTAAAAAAAATAAATACATGAATTAGGTCAATTGGCAGAATTATCCTATCAGGTCATGGATTCTAGTAAAATGCAAGACATACCTGCAGCATTAGGGTTTAATAGCAAGAAACAATTTATTTTTGGTTATATCATTTTTATGCTTTTGGTTGTTTGTTTTTTTTGTGTGTGTTTTCTTTTCAAGATGTGTGAAAAGTTTTCAACTAAACAAGTTGAAATCACGAGAGTTATTTCTACTTTTCTTCTTGAAGCAGGTCTTGAGACTTTTAAAATAAATATGTCCCAGAAATATGCAAATTCTTAACTTCGTTGCTATGTTGTGATTAATAATATATACTGATGTAACAATAGACACTTACTTACTATTATAATTTTAATTAAATATTATTTAAATATAGATCTAGAGATCTAGGTCTAGGGCTAGCTAGTATGTAGCTAGGTTTATTTCTAGATTAGTAGATTTAGTATACGCTAAAGGCCGCATTTGCGCGGTCCGCTCCGTGTTACACTAAATCTGTACCCTAGGCACTAGCTGGCACGAGATCTAAAATAATAGATTATTTAGATATCAGGACAGCCCCATTTTTTTTTATAACTTTCAAACCATAAATCTTCCTTAAAATGTGAATTAATTACTAAAATTTTAACAAAGTGAGTACTCGGAAAAAGATTTTTTTCCCCAACATCTCCACTTAGTCGGCAAAAGATAGTTCTGCGCATGCGCAGTGACCTATGGCTAGGATTAGGGTTAGGCCTAGGATTAGGGTTCTGCAGTTGTAAACACACGCATGCGCAGTACCATCAAAAACATCGCCGCGACGGCAAGTCGTAGTTTCTCTCCATTGCCCATGCGTATCTTTTTCCGGCTAGCATCGGCCAAAATTTAATGAGGCAACATCTAGGCTTTTTGATGAGAATTACAGAATGATTTTTTTATTTAAAAATGTATCAATAATAGCTAGCACACCAGTAAACTAAGCCAATTTAGCATATTTTAACTTTCTGTGCAAAGTCATTATTACTGAAAAAAATTTCAAAGTCAGGTCAGCCTGTGGCACCCTCCACTGAACTTGACAGAAGGAAAAAAAATTGACCCATGACCTTCATTAAAACAGAATTTGCTTTTTTTTTTTTTTAATTTTTAGTAAACATGTACTTAATCTTACCCAATAAGTGATAAAAATTTGAAAATTAATTTTAATTACTGTTATAAAGTGAGATAAACAGCTTAATAAACACATGTTTTCTTGAGGGGGTGTGACCCGGGTGTGTCACATCGCAATTGGAACTTTATATTTCTGTGTTTTATGACTATATTTGTACACAATCAGCATTCTATGCTTTTAAAATTGATACAGGGTAAGTATACCAAGTTACAAAATCTGCAATCTAACTAATAATACATATTTCAGTTTAAAAAATAATAAAAACGATCATCAATGAAGAAAGCGTAAACATTCTATTTTTAGGTGTGACATAAAAAACAGTCATAAATCTAGCCAAATGATTGGATACTTGTGCGGCACACATTTTCATGCGCCTTGTTTTCACCAAACAAGAATATAATAAAATGGCATTATTGATGGGTGATCATTACCCACAAACACATCTCATAAACCCCATAAATTATTACCAGTCAGGCCTAATTGTAATGTGTGTTAAATTAATACTTTAAAGTTTCCATGGAACATAAGCTGGTTTACAAGGAAAGCGATATTTCAGAGTTATTTGATTTAAAAGACAAGAATACATAGAGCTATTTTCACTTACATGCAACTTGCGAGACAAACAAAGAAATTAGGTCAAAAATTCATCTGGGAATTCTTAAATAACAGATGGCATCGTAATCAATAGTTTTATCTTATCCCTCAACTGTTTAGTGAAAGCGAAACTGGTCGCCATTTTAGTAAGCGCATGATCCGTGAGATGCCACGAAAATGACAAACCCGGAAGCGCTGAATTGAACGGCCTACACCTTCTTTTAACATTACTAGCCTCAGCCAATTTTACGTAGGCCTACACCTAACTTTAACTTAGCCTAACATTAGTATTACTAAAAGTACATTGTACTAGGCCTAAAATACTAAATAGTAAATATTCAAAAATAAGTTTATAAAGTAAAGTTAGTAAGTACTAAGTAGGCCTATAATATTGTAAAGGACGATGCTAGCCGGAATAACATACCCATGCGATACGCATGCACAATGAAGAGAAACTACGACTTTCCTTCGCTGGGATGTTTTCTATGGTACTGCGCATGCGTGTGTTTACAACCGCAGAACCCTAGCCTAACAGTCTAACACCAACCCTAAGCCCTAAACTAATCCTATCCCTAACCCTATCCTATCCCTAACCCTCATTCTAGCCCTAACCCTAGCTATCTTTTGCCGACTAAGTGGAGACGTTGGGGAGAAAAATCTTCTTCCGAGTAGTCACTTCGTATTATAAAATCGGTAATCTATCGTTTTAGCGTAATCAATTCGGCTGCAATAGTAATGTGCGGGAGAGGTAGCTGATGAATATATTTGTTTAAATAAGTTTATTTAAGTCAAATTTTACAAAATATCACAGATAATTGATTTAAAAGAACAAACAGTGACCAAAACAATTTAAATAACATGAAACTAACTTTAAACAAGGTGTTTGAGATAAATATTAGTAGAAAAAAAACAGCGGCCATCTTTCCAAATAAAATTTAGAGTAGTTTCCCTGGATAAAAATGTCTATTCGTATGTATATTGTGTTGACTTTGTTGTTTAATATACATACCTGTCTTGTTTAATATAAGTAAGACAGAGGGCCGTCTTGTTATCTTTAATTTCATTTTCAAGTGAAATGAAGGCTATGTATGTATGTACATCCAAGATCTCAAAAAATTTTGGGAGGTCCAACATTTACTAAACCCTTTTGTACTGATTAGGGGTCGTCCATAAAGGACGTCACAATCGTAGGGGGGAGGGGGGGGGGGTCGGTAATTTTGCGACGATGTGTGATGACGGGGAGGGGGGGGGGGGTGGTTCAGATGGTGCTACGTCACACTTTTGCTTTATAGATAAGAAATGTTAGAAAACGAATTTTAGACATTATTTAGCTTTTTAAAAAACAGTTTTAATAAATTATAATAGGAATTGATTAAAATACTATATTTTGACATATTTCAGACAAGATTTTGGAAAAATATCGATGTTTTAAAAAAAAAATCAACTGCAATTTTGAGGGGGGTGGGGGGGGGTTGTAGGCTGATGTGTGACGTCATTTTAGGGGGGGGGTCTGACTTTTTGTGACGACGTGTGACGGAGGGGAGGGGGGGAGGTAAAAATCGTATTTAAAAAGCGTGACGTCATTTATGGATGACCCCTTAACTTGTCAATTATTAGGTCGTCCATATTCCTCATAAATGACGTTGGACTCAAAATATGGGACGGTGTAAAATATTTTTTTCAAAAATGATGAAGAATATATTCGTTTTCGTTAGAAATTGTGATTAAGGGATCGGGTATAGTAGAACTGCGATATGATATTAAATCATCATCTTGCTTTTAGTAACTATTGGGTGAGAGGGAAATTGTCGGGAAAAGTATGACGTCATTTATGGGCGATCCATTTAATTAAGCCTAGTTGTTTATTTTGTCTGTAGACATTAGTCTTAGGCCTACACTTTTTCTGAATTAAGATTATTGTGTTTATTAAAATAGGTTCAAATTTTAATTAGTTACATTTGAATACCACATGGTTTGTTGTTTTTTTTTCTTTGCCTTCTGCTGTCATCAGTTTTTGATTTCTTCAGTAGTCAATGTTTACCCCTCCCGACCATCCATTATTACAACAACAAAAAACACCCACTATAGTGTCATAGCGTAGATATATAGAATTAGACTAAACGAGTAGAGGTTACTAAGGACGGTACGAACTTGACGGTAGACGATTTGGTGCGAGAGTATTGTGCGCGTGTTCAATAAAATATGTGTGGCGTGAGTGTGACGTGAGCATGGTGCGACAATGTACCGATGACGTAAGACGCAGCAGTGAAGTTAGTTGGAGGTTAGATATAGTAGAAGACGGATGTATTATTTGATATTGTGAAAATGATCTATAAGTGTGTGTTAATTAAGTTCATGTTATTTCATAAACTAAGTTGTTGACATTGTTAATTAGTGTCTGCGGAACATAAGAGTGATTCCCGTCCTCCTCACGAGTATAATAGTTGCCGTATGAATAGTAGTAGATCAGAATATATTGAGATTATATATAAATCGCCAATCACAATATAGTGATATCCCACTCTAGAAAAAAAAACTAGATCAACCATAGTTCGTAGGAAAATTAGAATCTATCACTTATTCGTCTGTTAAAAAAAAAAGAAATACGTCATTTTTCTCAACCACGCCGTTTCATCCCCCACTAAGCACAACGTCACAAAGTTTGCGGCGCGCGTGACGTCATTTATCATTAGGCTAATGTTTAAGAAAGATACCGCGTAATTAAAAGAAAATCAAAACAGGCCCTAAATCACTATGGCGATGAGACTTTAACCAGTGGCGTAGCGAGGTCGAGTGTCACCCTGTGCGGCACTTAATGGTGTCACCCCCCAGAGGCGACAAACTTTTAATTTTCGATTGGTCCCACTTTACCTGCTAGTCAATACTTGTCGAATATTGTTGACAGGAGCTACTTGGTTTGAGCCTTGTTGTCAGAAGTTATTTCATTTGGAGTCAATATAGTGCGGCTTATTATCGTCCGTAGGCATTTAGTGGCAGGCCCTTTTTGGCGGGGATGGTGCGCTGAGGTTGTTTAACACCGCTTAGTACAACAGACATGTAATAGTTATGAACAAATGTATGCATGAAAACGAACGCTATATGTTCCTCATTTTCACTGAGCACAGCTTTATAGAAGATTCCAAAATAGACGTCACGCATCCCCCCCGGACCACCCTGCGTAAGTTGACGTCACATTAGCATAGCATATGTGACATCGTTTATGGACAACCCCATATAACTCATTTTGGGTATTTGGTATCAACATTTTGACAACAAAGGTTATTCAAAATGTATATAGGACTTGACATCTACCCTAAATGACATCGCACACTTAAGGGGTGGAGTAACTGGTTTTGAGACGACGTTTTACGCGGGAAGTGGGAGGGGTAAGAAACGTGAAACGTTATGTATTTCGCCTAATACAAAAATGCTGAAAATAACTTTTTCATTAGAATTATGGCTTGACTTTTTAATAGACAGGGCAAAAAGGTAATTTTCGACATTACGACTATTTCGTGACGGCAAAAATGGGGGTGGGGGGGGGGGGGGTTAAGGTGAAGAGAGGTCAAAAACGGGACGTCATTTGTGATTAAATCACTAATTAAAGGAAAAAAGCATGAAAATATTAAATGAAAATAGGAAACAAACAATAACACAAACAATAAGAATGAACTCAAACTAATATTTAAATAAACATTAGATATGTAGTGGTAGCTCTATAAAAATAGGGAGTATCTTAATGTATAAAAATTCCATCTCATAATAATAATTATAGAACTGATGTTTATTGTCAGTCAATTAAATTGTTTAAAGGGCAGAATTTAAAAAAAAAAACGCATGCTTTGTATTTAAACACAAGACTAACCTATTTAACAGCAAACATCAATACATTTCCATACAAATAGAAATTAAAGGGAAATGACTCAAAATAATATTTTCTTAAGATGGCCGCTGTTTTTAATAGCACATTTAGTATCTGTAACATCGTTGTTTAACTTTAATTTCCTGACATTTTTATTGATTTAAACCTTAAATGTGGTTTAATATTCAATTATCTTTAGTATTTTAGTAAAATATGCAAAAATATATCCATATTTAAGCCATATTTATTAGTTACCTTATCCCTACATTACTAGTGACGGCCGAATTGATTACGCTAAAGCGATAGATTACCATAAAATCAATAGAATAGTAATAGATTTACCATCAGACATCATTTAACTTAATTTAATATTAATAGGCCTAATGGACACGAGCGAGAAAACTCTCAAAGGTATTTGAGAGGTGTATAAATTAGTTTAAAAATCAGGCACGGCGTAGTTACAATTAATATGGTTATAAAATCCTGTCTGTCTGGTTTATTTCGGACTTTACTAAAGATTGGTTCTATTTGATGTTTTAAAAATTTTCGGTAACTAATTGAAAATTTAAAAACAAGCCAAAACAATTTGGTTTTCACGTGTAATGGCGACATAAACAATGGCATCCTGCTATTGGATAGGCCGACATTGATTTTATTGTACACATTGTAAGCTAAAAATAGAAAACTAGGTCATGGGGTTTTTAATTTGCATTGTTATTTAAAAACTTGATCTGCAAAGTTTTGTAAACAAATAGTTATCGATCACTAAGTTACTGTACAGCCAATCAATATTTGTCTTACGAAAGTGAAACATCCGGTTTTAACTTAGGCTTGATGAAAATAAATAGAAATGTAGCCTTAAACTCAACAAATTATTTTCAAGTTCTCTGGATTTACAACTTTTATAGCATTTATTCTAAAAATATAAAATTTCTAAATTAATTTTAGGCTTAAGTTTTTATTTTTTATTTTTTTTTACGGTCTAAATCTAAAAAGCACGTTTTTATTCCATGACAACAACACTATGGAAGGAATCTCGTCAACTCGCTTGTCTCCATTAAGTTAAATTAAGCCTAGATCTAGATCTATTTAAAAATTATTATATGAATAGGGCTCAAAGTTACACTATTTTAGTGCCAGTAACTACGAGTAGTATTCTAGATCTAGATCTATTATCATTAGGCCTACTAAATCTAGAATCTAGGGCCTATCTTACTAAATGCTAAAGTAAATTACTAAATAGTAAATAGGTAGGTACTATCTTATTTTTTATATTTAGATCTAGTCTACTTCCCGGAAGAGAAGCCAGAAAAATAATAGTTTTTAAAAGCCAAAAGCTTTTTAAAGAGTCTAGATTTAAGCTGTACTATAATAATTTGAAGCATGCCGTATTTTAATTGGATCTAGAAATTAGAATCTAGCTCTATAATAATAATTCTATAACTAGATCTAGATCCACTCATACTATAGATCTAGACATTAAGAGGATTAAATATATATATATATATATATATATATATATATATATATATATATATATATATATATATATATATATATATATATATATATATATGTTACGGTCAAAGCCATAAGTGCGGCCAAAGCCCAAATTGGCCGTCCAATGTGCGCATTGGCCGGCTCTCTTCGCCAAAGCCTGAAGAACAGCACTAAGAGCTTATTTCATACATTGGCCGGCCAATGCGTGCACTGGCCGGTACGTACTGGCCAAAGTCCGAAGCGCTTAAACTTGACAGCGTATTTTGTACATTGGCTGGCCAATGCACGCACTGGCCGGGATGACCTGGCCAATGTCCTATCTAGACTAAGTTATAATCGCGTTTTCATTATTCTGGGTGCGGTTTCATTGTGAGTAACGTATTGTTTAGCTCTTGTTTGTATAGCATTCTATGGACCAAAAGGGCCGTCAGACCATGAGACAGACATAGCAGATGGCTGTCAAAAGAAAAAATTTAAATCCATGTTAGTTTCCATCTATAGGCTACAACTGCATGTGACAGCCTCCTCCATGGAAAACACTGAGGTGTAGCCCATTCTTGTGGATCCTGTGGCAACGATGTCCGTGCTATTTGCGGAATACCCAATGAAGCAGACGGAGGGTATTATTAATATTACCTGCAGTCCTGCAGCTTTGTGTCACAACAGGTCAGCAGCTAGTATACTAGCTTGTAAACTCAAGGTGCTAAGATGCTTAAAACATCAAATAGAAAATTTAAAAAAACTGAAGTGGGTGACAATGTTCGCATCCGTATAACAGATGTTGAAAGAGGTCTCGGTGATCCACGTAGCGTCATTGCAGTTGTCATGAACGTCGAGGGCGCTTTGTACAAGCTAGGAACGGAACACGGTGTTCTAAAACAACTGTATGCTAGAAGTGAGTTTTCAATTGTTCACGAAAAACTGCTCTCATTGTCGCCCGTTGGCACTGATGAAAATCATTACGAACCATCGCATCTTCACAATCACTGACCTAAAAATAATTCCTGGGAAATTATTTAAGACAAGAGAAATAGGGGAAATAATCACTCTCTTAATATAAATATGAATATATGTACACATTTAAATATAAATGTCAAAACAAATAAATAATTATTTTAGAATATAATGAAATTGTTTAACACTATTCGTGTTTACAAAATGTTTTTGTCTATAATCAGAATTTAATATATAATCATCATAAATGCTAAAGTATTACAGCATAATGAAAGTTTTTAAAATCAGAGTTGGTATAAAACCACGCTTTTCGACATAATAGAAAAGCACTAGGAATAACAACCTACAGATAACTAGAAATTGTTCTTTTAGTTCAGATCATATATTTTAATTAACTTCTGCTTCTTTGTGTTCTTTAAAGATCATTTTTAACATAGTGATAGGTATGGGTTAGATCACTGTATTGATCACACACGCTTTACTGGTACTTGCAAAAACAATATTCACAGAGTTTTACGTTTAAAAAGCCAATTTTCTGGCGGCATCATACTTTGGTACATCATTACGCGTTTTTCTACATGTACTTAACAGAACAGTTCGGGGTGGGTTGGGGGGGGGGGTAGGTTCAACTTCATTCACCACTGTCCGGTCACTTTAGGTCAATTATCCAACCCAGTGTATACCTAGGTGTGACATTAATGTAGCTCTACACCAGGGGTCTCCAAACTTTTCAGCCCGTGGGCCGCATTAACTACCAAATATCAGTTCGGGGGCCAGAGTTTCTTCCAGGCACCTCTTCGGGGTGGCGGATCGATGGTTTTGAGCTTATTAAATTCACCATCTTCATCACATGATTCAGTACACTGCTATAGTCCATGCATTTAGTACACAAAGCTTGATGGCAAATAATACAGTGCAGGGACATTGGTTGTAGAATGTTTTTCTCATTCGCTTTTCCAACCAAGCCTTTCTTAACGCTAATCATGTACTTTTCTCCATCAAAATTCAGGTAACAGTCCTAGTTATAATCAGCAATTTGTTTAAACTCATTGAGTATATTCTCTCAGGTAACAGTGCCATACATGCAATGTAGGGAAGCAAATTTTGTGTTATTTTCATGTCTTCATCCACACCTCTAATGAACACACTAGGTTGAGTGGAGGAACAGCTGTCTAGCGACTCATCCATTGCAATTGAAAAATGGCGAACCCTGCTAGCATTTTTCACTATTTGAGTCACGGCGGGCAATGGTATTTGCACCCTAAGATACATTTTCAAATTGTTTTGAATTTTCTGGGCAAAGTTCCTCAGCCACCTGAAACATTTTTTTTCCTTGGACAAAAAAATAACCGCGGGCGGTTGAGAGGACCCCGCGGGCCGGCCCGCGGGCCGTAGTTTGGAGACGCCTGCTTTACACAATTGTGGTGGTGAGGTGTGTGAAGATAGATAAATGAAATTTCACATGTAAGTAAAAGATCTAATTCTCTACCTTCTGTCAAATTTTGAGTAGTTTCCGTTGACCGGAAGTACTAATTTACGCTATTTCCGATTTCTCAAAAAAAAAAAAAAACGCATGACAACGGCCAGAATTGCAAAGTCCAGCTTTTACGACTCGATAACGCATAAAATGCCAAAATGTTTATATATTTGTATTTATAATTTTTGCCTGATTAAAATAAGTCCTCTATACTCCTGATGTGATGAAGGACTGAGGAGTAAAACGATGAAAACTGTCAAAATTTCATGTTATTTTTGTGCACGATTACAATACTTTCTCTATACTTCGTATATACGAGAAAGTAAAAATGATCAATTCGGTATAATGTTTTTTTAGCTCTTAAAATTTCGGTAAGGGTATCGTCTTCCGCCCACCCGCTCCGACCGTATGCTATTTTACTGATCGGATTATTTCTCTTTAATACAGTGAAGTTGAAGTTTTATGGTGGGCTAGAAACAGATAGGGGCTGGGGTTCATGTAGGTAAAACATTTTAAGGGGGAAGCATCGGTATATTCATATTGTGTCGGATCACTTCCCTGCTGGACCATGAGGGTCATAAAGTACGCAGATTGGCTGAGATCTAAGAACAGCAGTGGCAGTGTTTCTTCCAGACTTTTTTTCTCCGGGGGGGGGGGGGGGGGGGGGCACTCGATATTTTCGGAGGGGGGGGGGGACACTAGTAAAAGTGTATATTTACTATATAAATTCCATCTCGTTCGGGGGGGGGGGGGGAGGGGGGGCGGTAGACTTTCTTCCCCGAAGAGATGCCTAGAAGAAACTCTGAGCAGTGGTTGTTACCTCAGAAGTAGATAGGCAGTTTTATTGGGGGTTTTGTATGGGTTAAGTGGTCTCATGTTTGTTACTGTAATGTAGATATACTAGATCTATTGCTACTAGGTCTTGTACTGAACTAGATAATCTAGAATCTATACTAACTTAGATGTAAATAATCTATATTATATTACTGCATTTTATGTCAACACGAATATAAGGATCTTCAGTTCCTAAAAGTTTTTTTTTACTTATTGTTCCTGTTCTGCGGGTGCGAGGTTTTTAACATAATTATGAACACATTTTGAGACACGTCCAGCGCCCCGGGCACCCAACTTCATGGGGGCATATTTTTATTTATTCATATTTTATTTTTTTTGTAATTGAAAAAAAAAGTTGCTCTATGTTGTGTCATCATAAATTATCATCTGTCTCCACAATGACTTCTGACTGATTTATTTTATTACTAATCTCACCCAAAACAAATTGTAATACTCAATCGTATATCACTGTCTGTATAGCACAACTTTTATGGAAAAAGAGGGCTTTAGTATATATATATATATATATATATATATATATATATATATATATATATATATATATATATATATATATATATATATATATATATATATATATATATATATACATTAATGTTTCTTTAATAAATGCGGTCTTTATATTAAAGTGTGTTTCTGATATTTGTTTAGTACAGTGTAGGGGCATCTTTTAGAATACTTTTGCCCATTAATTCCTATGCAATGTAGGGGCATCTTTAAAGTAAAGTAATTATGCACATATTCGTTATACTACTTTTCAAGGAGATCCGTAGAGTAATTAAGTCCTTATTTATTTTACACTCTGCAGGCAGAGTTTCTTCCAGGCATCTCTTCGGGGGGGGGGGCGCGAACGAAAGGAATTTATATAGAAAATATATACTTTTAACAGCGCCCCCCCCCCGCCCCCCCGAGAAAAAAAAGTCTGGAAGAAACACTGACTGCAGGGGCATCTTTGAAGTAAGTATGCTTATATTCATATAATATATTTGAAAGGCATACATACCAATCATAATTTTCAATTAAAAAAAATTGGGTACAAGTTAAGGACATTTGCCGCGAGTAATTAAACCCATATTGTTTTTTAATAAAGAGTAGGGGCATCCTATATTCGTTTTGATGTATTATATGAATATACTAAAGAATAAGAATGCCCATATTGTTTTTGAGACACTATAAGGACACGCTCAAGAATATGCATCAGAGCAGTAGCGTACGCAGGGGGGGGGGGGGAGCAGGGGGAGCGGCCGCTCCCCCTCTGGCCATTTGCAGCAAAGTGGCGCCCTTTTGGAAACTTTTTAAACTCAAAGTTTTAAACAATGATATCTGTTAACAAAATATTTTTGGTCGGCACATCTATGTAAATCACAAGATTTTCTTTTCATGCAGCAATTAAGCATTATTGTACTAGTCTAGTAGTGTCTACGTTTACAACACGTATT